AAGACCCTTCTCTTCGACTGTGCCTTTGGTCGCCCTCCCACCTCTCCGCCTTCCCTCACCCCTACACCACCCCTCCCCCATGCTCGGATCCCAACACCTGACTGTTCAGCGCTTTGGGACGTCCACCCGATGCGAAAGGAGCTCTATAAATATCATTTTGTTGTTGTTGTAAGAGTAACCAAATCAGAGTTCCACATATCTATGCCATCTATACATGGAAGTCTTCTTGTGTCTGGAATTGAATGCTCACTCTCTCCCTGGAGGAATGTGTCCTGTTTACATAATTCTGTAGAGTATGTAAGCTGCAGATTAATCAGCTACAGTGGTGTAAATATCTAGCTCAGTTACATACAGGGCCTTGCTGTAATATATCAACTATATTTTAGAACAAAAGCAGAATATGTGGAGCAGCTACAGTTTCTCCATCTCACTAGACCGTATTTAGGCTTCTTGGCTCACTCCTACAATGCTCTGTCCCTTATTAACTTTAGAGCACATTTCATTTTAAGCATACAACAGGAACTTGCATTTATGTAGCGCCTTTCAAATATCAAAATGTCTCAAAGTGCTTAAAAAGACTGTGTTCAAGGAGGGTGGGTGGAGGTTGTGGTGGTGTGGGTGGGTGATGAAATGATCATAAGCACAGTCCAAAAGGTAGATTTTCAGGAGGCTTTTAAAGACAGGTTGAGAGAGGGCAAGGGAGGGAAGACAGGAATGCAGGGATATTGTGTCTGAAGGCTTCCTGTCTTCCTCTACGATTTCCATTTAAGAAACAAACTGGCAGGAAATATAACACTTCATGATCTGAGATGTCAGAAGCCAAATGAGTGGAATGTGTGCAGGAAACCAAAGTTTTACTCCTACGCGTTTCTCACACTAACTGTTACCACTTCGGCATCCCACAAGAACCCTTTTTGCTTTAAAATTAACATTAGAGTAATAATAATCCTTGTATTTGTTATAACGTCGCAGCATCTCAAAGTGCATCTCTGGTAACTGCTGTCGTTGCTGCCAAAGGTGGACAAGTTGTATGAGAAATTGGGAAATTTCCCGAGAGCCTCTGTGATTGGCTCTTGATGCTTAGTACCCCAGAGCCTGACATTCAGGTGAGTGACAGCTCAGACCAGTCAATCATTGCCCGGCTTCTCTGATGAGTGACAACTAGGATAGTCAATCACCACCTGGATCCCACCTTACTATTTAAGCCTGTACAAAGTTGAATGCTGAATCAGCATCCCGGCCGACTAACACCCCCTGCAAATCAACGCCCCAATTTTACCTGGAAATCCTGAGCCCTTTCTGGGAGCCAGTCCGCAACTGGTAGCAACTGTACTTGTAGGCATATGTGGCAGCCAATTTGTATACAGCAATGTTTCATAAACCAATTTTTCATCCTTTTTTTTTAAAAAAGTTAAGTCTCAAAGACGTGATAAGGCATGATGTCAAGTGCAAAGATTATTATTATATAGTATTATTATAAGCAGAATGTGTCCCTCTGGGAAGAGATCACATTTTCCATTCCAAATATAAGAATTTCCACGTGTAGGTGGGATGCATGAAACTCTCAGCTTGGTTTGGATACTTCTAAACATAATGATTGGTTACCGCATGTGTCAAACACCCGACTAACCAAAAAATAATTGTCAGAACTTGCAGTAGCAGGAAAGAAAAAGTGTGAAAATTTAAAATGTCAACTGGACCACCAGCTTTGCTAAAGAAATGCATGCAGAGATGTTATCTGAGGACATGCTGTAAATTAAACCAGATTCACTTGATCCGGTAGCAGAGGGAAAATCAACTAACATGTTTAATCTTATATTGTGATGGTCTCGAAAAATGCAGCCAGCAGTGAAACTAACTCTGTTCAGCCTGGGAGAAAAGACACAGCGGGAAATTATTCTGTTCAGCAAAATTTAAATCCAGGAACGTGGAACAGAGGAACCAAAGTCACTTGTATTCTACGCTCAACAACTCATTTTGTTATTAAGGAAAAAAGACATAAAACATGAGTCCCAGAAGCTCGGGTGGGAGATCTACCCTCCCAGAGGGCCAAAAGATGTACTCAGTCTCTCTCTAACTCAAATTGCTGAAGTGTGGCTCAGCTATGCTTTGGTATATCTTGGCTCTTTTTTCCTTTACTTCAGGCTGAGCCGCACAGGTCAGCATATCCTCCCCCACCTGATAATTGTTGTAATTACCTTGGCCTTAAATCCTTAGGCTGACTTTGATCTAGAAATACAGGACCCTAACATCAACAATTAATACAACAAGCTACAGCTGCAATAATAAATTCACTTCTTTCTCTGAGCCAATTTAACTCTTCATAATACAAGGCACAGCATACCAACATCCTACCCAAAGTGATATCAAACCCCTTGTAACACCTGCCATGCTCAGATAGATGTTTTGCAACTCAGCTCTATTTAATTAAAGAATATATTTTCTGCAATTCATTTTGACACTCCTAATGAGCATAGTGTCTTCATCTAATCAAAATACATTTATAATCAGTATTGTAATTCTGCAGATCAGCTAGATACTAGCTAATATATAATAATAATAATCCTGGCATTTGATATATACAGAATACATTGAAAAGTGGATTGACTGTATAGTTGTGGGTGAAACGTATTGTCCCACAAACAGTCATGGATTGAGTGACCACATTTATTTTGGAGGGATTAGCTAACAATCATAAGTATACCTAACTGAATGATACAATCACTTCCGATCATAATAGCAATTCACTTCTGATCGCAAATAAGCATACTTAACTAAAACAATAATTCACTTCTGATCACAAAAATTGTCAACAAATTTATTTAAATGAATAAAACTATCAGGACCAGCCTTTAATATTAACATGTTTCTAAAAAGAATGGCACTTTGAGCAGAGCAATTCCCTTTGGGATTTCTTAAAATTATGACATGCTTTGGTTAAGAATACTAAGAAATATTTTAGACACATTTCAGATACAAGCTTAATCAAACATAAAAGCACTATTCCACCTGGATCCAGATTTACTCTGTTTATTTCACAGGAGATTTGTTGAATTCAGTCTTAACTTGTTGTTTTTCTACAGGGCTTAAAATAACTTACAGAAAACTGGTCTGAAAATTCTTGGTTCTCTTAAATGTTACATAAATAAGATAAATCTAGATGCAGGTAGAATTTCTACCCGTTAAACAATATTCCATAGAACAAACCAATGGTGTGTGGCAATAGTGTGCAGATATAAGCAACTGCAATAAGGACAGATACCTCACTGATTTGACACTGGTGATTGTTTGCAATACAGAAATAGTAATCTTCTAAAGCTTGCAACCAATTTGTGGCATTTATTAATGGGACTTCTTAATTAAGTTGCAGAGCCTGGGACAAAACATGACAGGCAGGAGATGGTGTGGGTGAAGCTTCACTGTCAGTCTCCTGAGGTTTCCTCCACAACTTTGCAGCCCATGACTTTTTCTGCAGTAGGCTCTGCGAACCATCACCCTCATCTTCACCTGGCTCCATTGGCTCCAGAACTCTGTGTTCAAGATCCTCGTCCTCACTTTCAAATCCCACCTTGCCCATCCTCCCCTGTGTCACCTTCTCAAACCATACAAACCTGGTCACTCCCTGACCTCAGTGAGTATCAGCCTACTTCATGTCCACCATCCTATCCACCCCAAATAGGCTTTAAAGCCTATTTGCTCCACTCTCAGGAAATCCATCCTAGAGTACTTTGACCCGTCCCTTTCCTCAATTCTTTCAAGGTCCATCTCAAGATGTCATCTTTCCCCTGCTCACCCTCCTCAGCTCCCACCCTCAGTTCGGATTCCAAGCCATGTCTGTCAAGTGCCTTGGGATGTTCTCCTGACGTGAAAGGCACTTTATAAATGTAAATTTGTATTGCTTTGTAATGATCAGATACAGCAACAGCTTCTGTGTTACTTGTAATGCTGCTACTGATGCATAAAAGAGTCGCTGTACATTGATTAGATCATTCTGCCCCTTTTGTTTTTCCACAACTGTGGGTCTAACAGCAGAGTTCTTTCTGCAACCTGTCAAACATTTATGAATTTTGAAAACAATAATTTACAGTGAAAAATCTAATTTGTAAAACATTTGCGTTGTCAGTCTATTTAGCAGATGTTAGACATGCCACCCACCCTTCAACATACTCTCTCAGGGGTAGGGACAGTTATCATAACATTGTAACATACAAAGTACTTACTTCTGCAAACACTGCTCTAATCAGGAGACAGAATACATAAGGATTCTACATTTGGAGACCAAACCATTGTGGTCACATCAGCCCATAGATGCTTAGATGATAAATCACTAAATGGAAAGTACTATGAATACTCTTACCCATTAATCTATTTTATATAGGACTGTTACTTTATTTTTAAGAACTTTCAAAGAAATTCTACCTTTTCCACCTCTGTGACCGACTGCAACCCTACCACCCTGGTCGTTCCCTCCACTCAACTAACCGGCCTGATTCATGTCCACACCTGACCCACAGCAGTGGGTGAGCTACCAAACATTTTGCTGTCCTTTGGATGAGACGTCAGCATACTCAGGTGGACGTTAAAGATCCCGTCCGAAAAGAGAAGGGAGTTTGTCTCAGTGTCCTGGTTAACAATCCCCTGGATAAAATTGATCATTGACGTCATAGTTGTTTGGGGGCCAGGGGGCGGGGTTGTTGGGTGCAAATTGGGAGCGTCAGCATTATAGGCTCCACAGCAGTTTAAAGAGAAGATCCAGCATTATTCCAATCACAAGATGAGCGACAAAATACAGTCACTAATGGGAATCCTGCAGTAACTGATGTTGCATCACAGCTGACCTGTGGGATTGTACCTCTCACATTGCCAGTTACCCGCAAGAATCTTCAATAGAGTCTCTGAGCCACTAAGTCATAGTCTTTTTTGGCTCCACTGTTTCTCATTTTTACAAGATGTGATGAGCAAATGTGAACAGGTGAAACATCAGCAGAAGAATTTGCGAGCATTTTTTTGTACAATATCATTGCGTGGTCTGAAAATATAGGACATCTGTTACTGATATTCAGTCCCTGTAATCTCTTTGATTAAATCCAACAGCTCGTCAAAACCGGGACGTCCATCTGGTTTCTGAAAATAAATACCAAAATTATCATTTAGATAACCAATCCTTCAAAATATTAATTACCGATATTCAAAGAGTTTCTTCTGCCTGCCTAGTATACAATAAAAATTTGAACCATGTGACCAAAGTATAGGGAATCAAATGTAATGAGGCTCTGTAACACACACTCTGAGTCAAACTGATAAGGAGTCCTGTAGCATATTGGTTAGAGCACTCGATTCCTGTGTGGGGTGAAATGGTAGGCATGTTTCTGTACTCCACAGGCCTCTATTTATATAGCAATAGGTAGGAGCCAAGTAGTTAGTCGATTGGTGGATCGCTTTTCCAGCGGTATTAATCCCTTCAAAAATAATAAAATAAATAAAATAATAATTTGATCACTCAATCCATGACTGTTTGTGGGACACTGCTGTGCGCAATTGGCTGTCACGTTTCACCCACAGAGTATACAGTCAATTCACTTTACAATATATTCTGCAAAGCGCTTTGAGACATCTTAAAGACATGATAAAGCACTATATCAAATACAAGGATTGTTATTATTATGAATATGTGCAGGATGTTCGCATTTTATGGCAGTGGCACTTTCTATCTACTAGAGCTATTTCTTCTGTGAAAATTAGTTTGAAGATAAGATTAAGTTTAAATGTTCTAAACCCACACCACAAGACAACAGACTAATGAGCACTCATCCTGTGTGCAGCTGCACTGTAACCTAACCACAAAGCAATAGAGGTGAACTGCCAAATCTATTCATTTTCTCTCCCCAATGACACAGTTGATAATACGATTGCTTAGATTGATAGTCCTCGGTGTGATATTCAGTCTGTTACCTGATCTCAGAAGAGGAAGTAGTGGAGCATTACAATTTCATCATTGTCCATACTGTCCTTTGGTACCCAATACAATGCAAATTTATATTGATATAGTGCCTTCACCCAGACAAACGTTTTGCCTCAGTGAGGATTGGCAGGCTCTTTGATCCAGGTGGACATCATAGTTGGGCCCAATCCTGTCCTCTCCAAAACATGCAGACGTGTACATTTTTCAGCAGTAGGTCACTGGCTAATGAGTAGGAGCAGACCTGCAAGGTATTTTTCACTTTCCTAGCCCCGGGCAGTGAAGCCAATTATAGGTCTAATCCCAGCCCTCGCTGAGATCAGATAACTCAGCACAGATTGTGATTCCGCAAAACCTCTGCTTTGTATGGTCTATTACTGCACAGGGCAAGTACACACCTTTATCCTTTAGAATGAATCATTGGGTTATCTCCAAATGCTGCAAACATCAGTTTGTCTCAGTTGAAAGCATTCTCGTCTATAGGTCAAAGGGTTTGGGATTCAAGCCTCACATAAAGCTTATAAACTAAACAGTCTAAGATGATAATTCAACCCAGTGCAGGGAAAGCAATGCATAGATCATTGTTGGCCAGAACTTTGGCAGAAGGTTGGGATTAATAGATTTATGTCTTAAATTTACCGGTTTGGTCATATTTTAAGTAATTGGCTGAAGAAAGAGGCTGCTGTCCTTTGGGTGAGATGTTAAACCAAGGTTCCCTCAGCCTGTTCAAAGCTGATGTTAAAAATCACTATTTGAAGAGAGGTGGGAGCTCTGCGAGATTCTGTCAATAATGATCAAGATAAATTGGTCATTCACTTCAGGTGTGTTGGTGGGGCATTGGTGTGTGCAAATTAATTAACCTACAAATACAGTTTGTGCTACAAATACAATTAACTTCAAAGTGCTTTGATTGATGTCAACATTATAGGTACTATATTAAATTCAAAGATTTATGTTATATAAGTAGAAAATGCCATAGCAACAAACCTCATGCCAGCAGCTGTACATGATTTGATAGACCAGGCGAGATGCCTGGGATGGTCTGTAGAGCCTCTCACCTCGAGAAATCTCATCAACGACTTCAGCATTTGATTTGTTCTCAAAAGGCATTCTGCCCTCAGTAAAAACTTCCCACATCAACACACCTGAAGAAAAAGAGAAAAGAGGCACAGGGATTAATATAGAAATAGTCTCTTTACATCCTCCTGGTTTGAAGTGTGGAAATATATTTCCATATGTAACTGAATTAGGAGTGGATGATTATTCCATTGTTACAAGAATAGGATTCAGGCTTATTGGATTTAGATGTAGATTTATTGAAGGAATATTATGTCCCTTTTGCTTTCCTCAGATGTGAACAGGCTTCAGATGGTTGAGCAACAGATAGGAGATCATTTGCAATCCTACCACATTTTGTTCTAACTTCTATATGTTTTCTGTGACGTGATGGAACACATTTGGATTCTGATCCTCAATCTCCTGTAAAGTTTGCAGCATGCCTGTGAGATGTGGAAAACAATCCAGATACTGTTTCCGTTCCTTGATTGTGTTCTTTGTTTGCAATTGTCCAGCGAGGAGACTTCTCACAGCGATAGCTCAGAATGGCTAATGTTTTTGAAATCAAACGTGTTGTCTTGCAGACCTTTTTTTTTTACACAGATTTGGCTTCATATCTCTCAAAAGAGAGGCTTTGTTTTCAAATTGGTCATTCTTGGGGAGTAAACTTCAATATAACGCCAATCAGGTGTGATTTCAAGAGGAAGAATTGTGCTGCTTCACATCAGAAGGCACAAATTACCAATACAACCTTGAGTGTTCAAAAATAGGAGAGCAGAAATGACGTCAATTACATAGAATGTGACTAAATCAGTCAATATAGCAGTAAATTTAAACCCTAAACCTATTAATCCCAACCCTCCTTTTCAGCCTCACAAGTCAGAGATGTTCTGTGATGTTCTATGATTCCAGTGTCTGTGAACCATTTCTACACTATTGGACATATCAGCTAAACATTGTTTTGAGATTTAACTACTGTGCTCCTTTCCAAATTGGACATGACAAGATATTTATGGGCATGGAGCAAGCAGATAGTGTTGGAATTAGTTCAAGTAATCTAGCATGAAGAATTCTTCCCTTTGATAAACAAAGTCTTATTTTTTTTAAATTGGTCAGCTGGATGTCTGACAAATGAAAATCCATCACAACGCTTAAGAGTATCCAAACCAACTGAGATTGCCAGGATCCCTACTACACATGCAAATCTCAGAGATAGATCGTTGGAATGGAATGCACACTCTCTCCCTGAACGGACACATCCTGCCCACCTAATTCATTTGTAAGATGTGCATTGCACATGATTAAGGGACAAAATGTACCCGTACAATAATGAGGTGGTAATGATCAGATAAGGTACAGGATTTTTCAAGTAATCTTCAAGACTGTTGTTGCTATGGATTTAACATAGTACAACTCGTGATTATACAGGGCTTTCAAATGTTTTATTCAATGTCAAAAAAGCACTTTTGCCATTCATAACATTTTATCTATTTGAAATACCACAATCTTTCTGCTATACGTCTTTATTAACAACCACAATGTCCTATATTTAATTTCGATCCCCTTGTGGGAAATAGAATGAGTCAGCTTGATGGTCTAAAATTTTATTCAGACAGAAACTAAGCCAAGTTCAAATAAGGGTAGAGGGAATGTTAAGAGAAACCTGATCTGAGTTTATGATTTTAAAAAGTTCAAAGATAAAATTTGACACTGTTTGAAATAAGAACTGTGAAATCTAACACAAATTAAACTTATAACATAATCGATGCAAATCTCAATTCATTGGTAATGTAATACTGTAATGTGATACTGTAGTTAAGTGTACAATCTGTGTGGGAGGGAGGAGAGGAAAGATGAGGGGGATGAATGGAACACACCTTTGAGGTGTGAAATTGCCCCCAGTCTTTCTCTGTTATTTTGCATAGTCTGAATTTGGAAGCTTTTTTTTAAAAAAGAACTTCAGAAACTGACTTCCAAATTAAGACTGAATTTAAGAATTTATCACAATCCTGCATAATCTTACATTTAAGGCAAAATGGTCTAACCCTCTAAGATTTGATGAAATATTGCTTCAATGATGTCTTGTCAGAGTTTTCACAGCTTGTGTGAAATTTTCTGAAGGGAGCATTTTTTTAAAAAAATGTGAGAACTCAAAACTAGCCTTTGTATATTTGGACAATGAAAGGTAAACAAGCATTTTTTTATTTTGCTAGTTTTGCCTCAATGATAAATATTAGCTAGATTATTTTTAATTAATATAGATAAACTAGACATCAGGAAAAAATAATAATATAATAATAATCCTTGCATTTGATATAGTGCCTTTATCTTCGAGATGTCTCAAAGCACTTCACAGAATATATTGTAAAGTGAATTGACTGTATATTTTGTGCTCGGAGGATGGGATGGAGGAAGTATATTTAGTTGAGAACTAATTTTAGCCTCGGCTCCAATCATTATAATCTTTATTAACAAATAAGAGTGTACTGAGCAGAGTGGAAATATTAATACCATGACTGAGTCACTGAAACAGACTTGGTTGTCTGTGACCACACCACAAAGAGCACTGAGCTCTAAATTGCAGGGATGGACATATTACTTCAGAGACTGACACCGTACTGAACATTATTTACTCATGATTCTAATATTCTGATTCCAAATTAGCCTCAGGTTCAGGTTAATTTTAATCAAACAAATATGGGCTGATTTAAATCTGAATGAGAATGCTATGAGGCTATTTAGCCTTTCTCCCTACCCTCTCATTAGTGAAACAGGACCTTCGTTTTAAATAAATTCAGGAAGTAATAATAATAATAATCCTTGCATTTGCATTTGCATCTTCTAGATGTGTCAAAGCGCTTCACAGAATAGACTATAAAGTGAATTGACTGCATATTTGTGGACAAAATGCGGCAGCCAATTGCGCACAGCAGTGTCCCACAAACAGTCGCGGATTGAAATGACCAATTTATTCTTTTTTTTGAGGGATTATTATCAGACGTGTGGAATAAGGAAACTTGCCCAAGGTTTCACCCTGCGGTGAGTTAACGCCAAATTCGGGTTTTAAAAGAGTGTGAGAGGAATGTAATATTGTAGGAGACAAGCAGTGCAGGAAACTATACAATGCATTTTGATTTCAGCAGTGATGCTGCAGAGAGAAGTGTTTTAAAGCAGAATTTCTGAAGCTTTGTATTTTGCAGACATACAATGTGCGAACATTGATATAATGAATTCATCAGCTGACTGCAAACCATCTTACCAAAGGACCACACATCCGATTTGCTGCTGAATTTAGAAAAATGAAACACCTCAGGAGGCGACCACTTCACAGGAAATTTGGAACCCGTAGAGCTGGTGTACTCATCATCAAGCACATACCTGGACAGCACACACAATGACAAATAAACAAACTCCTTAAAAAATGTAATAATAATAATCCTAACATTTGATACATATACATGTCCTCAACTTGAAAACCCTCCATGGTCTTGCTCCACCCTACCGCTGCGACCCAGAACCCTACCAACCTGTTTGCTCCCTCCGCTCAGCGGGCACTATCCTGCTCCATGGCCCCCGCCCTGCACGCTCCACCATCGGAGGTCGGCATTTAGCTTTTCTACCCCACCCTCTGGACCTCAATCCCAGAGCACCTCCATCTTGCCCGTCCAAGGCCCATCTCAAACCTTCCTCTTCGACTGCACTTTTTGGTCATCTTCCCACCACCGCCACCACCTTTGCCCTCCACCCCACTTGACTCCAGCCTGTGGCTCGGCTGCAAACCTTTGACTGTCCAGTGCCTTAGGATGTCCTCCTGACGTGAAAGGTGTGATATAAATGCAATTTGTTGTTGTTATTGTTGTTGATATAGCTCCGTTCACAACCAATTTTAAATGCAAATTGAGAAAGTAAATCCAGACCAATGCTTTCAGATATACCAAGGCAAAGGATAAGTCAACAGGGAACATTTGTTTAGATAAAGGGTAATTGATGACTGGAACAAGTCAATCAGAATGATGGTTTTGGCTGGGACACTGGACACATTTAGAAACAGCTTGATGCTGTGATGGGAGGACAATTCAGAGTGGGTATTGTGGAAGGATGAGATCAAATATCTTCATCAGAGCTTCTCTTGTGACCTTTAAACTTCCAGTCAGAGAGATGGTAGCTTTACACTGAGTATTTTGTTCAGCAAAAAGTCACAGTCACGCTAACTGTTGATCGAGGGTGCAACCGGATTTATAGACATCAGCTTGAAAACAATGTCAAAGGAAGGTGTTCACTTCTGGCACATCTGGGTAATTCCTATTTGATATTTTGGGAATCTCCATATTCAAGTTGCTATATTTAATGTTAGACCCCATGACCAGATTTAAGTTTCAAAATAATTTCATTTTGCAGTTGATGTCCAATGATTAGGCTTTAATGTTTGACATTTGCAGACACTCTTGAGGCTTGGAACCCAAACTTGGTGAAACCCAGACTAACCACTAACAGGAAATATTTTTTATGACATGCATTCTACACTTGCTTAGAAATAGGACACTATATTATATGAACTTTCTCATAAAGTCAGACATCAATACCCGGATGAACCTTAACGTTCTTCACCAAAATGTTAACAAAGGGTAAAAGTCAAAAGTTTGTTCACAACACTGAGGTTCATCACAAAACAATTGTTAAAAATAACCATTTTTTTTTATCCCTATGTTGCAGCCATTCAACATAAGGAGACCCTGCTTGCCTCCCCCAAAGGAGGATAGTCAACAACAACAACAACTTGCATTTATATAGTGCTCCTCACACAGGGTAGCATCCCAGATTGCTTTCTCAATTGCATTTAATCACTAGTTAGTCATTCAACACAATGACAATAAATTCACTGATGTTCACTATCCTCAAATGGTAACAACCAAAATCCAGGCGGGTGGCAAGACCTACCTTGTCATTCCAAAATCAGATACTTTCACCATATTCTTCTCAGTCACCAAACAGTTTCTGGCAGCCTAGTTATAAACCAAAGAACAGAATTATGATTAATACTAAACTGGATATCAGACAATGGATTATTGATAGAGGATTGTTTGGTTTCTCAGGACCATAAGTATGGGTCTGAAGTCTTCCTGGAACACCTCGTAATTAAGCAATAATGATGGTTACTATTACGCACGGGCATTTCCCTTGACTGGTGGATGAAACTCTCTCTCTCCTTCACCCGTAAAGCAGGACTGTTGATCTGTGCAGACCAATGTACAGCAATTTCTAGCTGAAAAGACTTTAATGGCAATCTTTAATTTCATTCTCCAGAACATAGGAACTTAGGAATTGCTAGACAAAAAAAGACCAAAGTCCATCTAGTCCGTCTTCTACCATCCTGGTAGTCGCATGCTACAATATGGTTATTATTATTACAATTATTAGAAATTGAGGGATGTTCAATCCCAAAACAGTATAGGACAAAAATTATCATAAATTCAGTCCTTATGATAATTATCACATCACACACCATAATCTTTCCAGTGTTACATGTTCTAGGGTTATACACATCTCATTTGAAAAGACTGCGATTTGTTTAGTCCTGGCTCAAGCACACCTTTGAGCTTAAACCTTGACACTTTTGAGCTTAAACCTCTGAGATGCATTGTTACAATTATCTCTGGTGAGTTTATAATACCAAGTGATGACTTTACAGGAATACTTACCAAGTCTCGGTGAATAAAATGGTTTTCCTCAAGGTAAGCCATCCCTTCGCACACATCCTCACAAATACTCAGTAAGGCATCCTTCTGAAGTCGGCCTTGTCTCTGGCGCAGATAGTTGAGCAGACAGCCATTCTCCATGAACTCAGTTACTATATAGATGGGTCTCTGCTGTGTACATACCCCATGAAGCTGAACCAAATTAGGGTGTGATAAATTCCTGGAGAAGAAAGTAGGGATTGATTTAGTTTCATACAGAGAAGCATGCATGGATTCTGGCCGTGCGAAAATGAATAAAATGGTGGAATATGTATAAGGAATGTTCAACTGGTTCTGGTTTGTAGCGTTGGACTGGTTTTATACAAACAGATTTAATAATCCTAATAATAATCCTTGCATTTGATTATACTGGCTTTCACCTCAGGAGCAGATCTCAAAGATGCTTCACAGGATTTACTGTAAACCGTAGTGACTAAATATTTTTTGTAGGTGAATGCAACAGCCAATTTGTGTACAGCAGTATCCCACAAACAGACAGTGACCAATTTCATCTGGGGTATGTTGGCCAGCACATCAAAAGAAACTCCCTTCTCTTTTCAAAAGGTGCCATGGAATCTTTAACATCAACCTGAACAGCCAGACAGGGCCTCATTTTAACATTTCATCTGAATGTGACCAATTATTGACCATATTTGGCTGATGTTATAAAAGGTTGAATAAATTTGTGTATGTTCATCACACTAGGTAAAAGTGACAATAAACACCAACACGGCAAGTTCTGAAAAGTGCTTAAACAAAGCAAAGTAATCAATTTAACCTATATATAGATGATATGTAAATATTTCAGTTCTAGTTCATGCTGTAAAGCCACAATAATCATTTTCTATGAAATGTAGCCTCACATTACTTCTCCATTTGTTGCTATTTCTTTACATTTTCTTTTGAAATTACCACTGTAAAACACGCTTACTCGTATTTAATTTGTGATATTCACACAGTACGTTGAAAGGACTAATTGTGACTTCTGGTTTCAAATATTACAATTTGTCTGTGTGAGTGAATCATCCTTATATGGGGATGGTAGAGCGATCCAGTGGAAGGGGGCATAATAATAATAAGCCTAACATTTGGAGCACATCCCAAAACGCTTTGTAGGTTATACTACAAAGTGTTGTGTGGGTGTGTTTTTTTTGAGCAGCCAAGTTGCGTACAGCAAAGTCCCACAATTTTATTTGGGGGGATTGTTGCTGAGGACACCAGGAGAAACTCCCTTCTCTTTCCGAATAGTGTCATGGGATCTTTATCATCCACTTGATCAGGCAGCCAGGACCTTGGTTTAATGCCTTATCCAAAGGGCAGCAAAGCCATAAAGTCCAATCTAGGACAGTCAGACCTGAGGTCAGGAAGCATCTTTATAATCAGGAAGCGTTAGATAATTATTTGGGGAGGACAAGTTTGCAGGGGAGAGAGCGGGGCAGTGGGATTGAATTGGATAGCTCTGTTCAAAGAGCCGGCACAGAGACGATGGACCGAATGGCCTCCTTCTGTGCTGCATAATTCTATGATTCTACAATCTCTTCGGCCCCAGAAAGAATCTACCCTGGAAAGCTGTAATCAATAGACACAGACACAAATACTGTACTTGGACAGTAGAAGTGTTAAGGAATAATAATAATAATCCTTGCATTTGATATAGCGCTTTTCACGTCGGGAAGACGTCCCAAAGCGCTTTACAGAACACACTGTAAAGTGAATTGACTGTATATTTGTGGGCGAACGCGGCAGCCAATTGCGCAGAGCAATGTCCCACAAACAGTCGTAGATTGAAAATTACCAATTTATTATTGTTTTTGGTTTTGGAGGGATTATTATTAGGCTCTGTGTGGAGTAAGGAAACTTGCCCAAGGTTTCGCCCTCTGCCTGGAATTGAACTCAGGTCTCTCGCTTGCAAAGTGAGTGCTCTAACCACTGGGCTACAGGACTCCACGAATATGATGAAAAGGCAGGGCATTGGGATTAAAATATCTGACAAGACCTAATAAACTGGTGGAACATGCTTGATGGGCCTAATGGCCTATTCCTATCCCTGTGATCCTATGTTTCTAATTTGAGATATTGGCTATCACGTTTTGCCCACAAAATATGGTCAATCCACTTTACAGTATATTCTGTAAAGCGCTTTGAGATGTCTCCACAATGTGATATATCAAATGCTCGGATTATTATTATTGTCGTTATTACTTTTATATTCACAATTATTTGTTTTGTAAATATCACAAGTTAGATAGCTTTTGATAATCACAGCTAGAAGTCTCAATTAGCACATCCAAAACAGTTTGCAAATTTCACAGATTAAATCTCATTATGTTTAACACAAGGACACATACAATTCATGCATAAGGTGGGAAGCAATAACCCAATAATACTTACATCATGATCTTAGCTTCCTCGATAAAGTCCTCCTCTGACATTGCACCTTCGTAAACTGTTTTGATTGCTACTTTATGCTTAGCTCTAAACTTCCCTAAACGCACCACCCCAAACTGTCCACTTCCCAGCTGCTTCATGAAGGTCAGGTCAGATGGGTTAATCTCCCATTTTTCTGTTCAAACAAAAAGGATGTTAAAAAGTCCATCTAGAATCATTCTGGTCACACTCTTAATAATTCTTTGAGTATAATATTGCAATAATATAGCTTTCAGTATAATATTGGTTAGTATGTGTGAAAAGAAAAGGCCAAGAAAAATTAGAATAAAAAATCTTTGGGAAGACTTTACATGTACTCTTGACATTTGAATAGGAGTTGGTCATTTGAGTCCTAAAGCTCAGTGGTCAGAGCACTCGCCTCGCAAGCAAGTGACTTAGGTTCAAATCCCAGCAGGGTGAAAGATTGGGCAAGTTTCCTTACTCCACATGCCTCTGTTTACCCAGTAGTAAGTAGGAATCCGGTTCTTAGTCGATTGGCAGATCGCTTTTCCGGGAGTACCATGTAACATGTTATTAAGCTATGGCAACTCTTTATAATTTTAGTCCCATTTCCCCTCTCTTTCACTAAATCCCTTAACACCCTTACTTCCCAAGTATCTATCATTCTCCTATTAAATACATTGATATCAGAAAATTTAGGAAAGTGAATTTATCTCAAGAGTGAAAAACTGCTGATGATTTTAAGCAATATTACAAACAGAAGAAACTTCCATTGTAAACTTCAGAAAAGTTATACTGCTGGTTTAAGTTCCTTTCCAACTGTTTCAAAGTTGAATTTGCTCTTCCGAATTATTACTGAATTATAATTTGCCAACACAAAGAACTCAGTGTTTCTCCACATGCATCAGGCCTTTTTTGAGAAGCTTTCACATTTATCTCACACATATAGTTATTTAGACTCAGGACGATTGTATTAGGATTTGTGAGAAAATGCAATGAATGGTTAAACAAGAACTAAATATCATACTGTACCAAAACTGAAGCTGGCTGTAGCAGGAATGCATCTTCCCATTGGTCCAATAGGATATCGGAATCGTGTGACCAGACCTAAAAATGTTATAACATAATAGGAATAAATAAAAGTGATTGTGACCACATCAACCACAACTCCAACAACAACAAATCACATTTATGTAGCGTCTTTCATGTCGGGAAGAAGAATATACATTTCATTCCATCATTTGCAGATCAAATATATAAAGTTTGTCATAGCGAAACTCAATTAGAAAACAAAATATTTTGATTTCAAATATTAGGATAAAATTATAATGCACCACTCCATACCTCCTGCATTGTGCTGATGGTAGTCAATAAGCTCAGGAATGGTGTCAAATAGGTGTTTTTCCGCTACGTAGTATTTTGTCTGTTTCTGTTTTATATGGTAATGCCTGATCCCTCGATTCTGATCTCTGGAGGCACATAACACAAAAGCCATTAGGGTTAAATATAAATCAGCTTACTTCAACTACTATACGCCTTCTTCACTCTGCCTCAAAGCTCCTGGACTGTCTCTCTTCTCTCTGGACAGCCAAAATAGTTGAGAGAAAATAAACTGACATGATATCATCAATGAGCATAGCCTTTGGGGTTTACAACAACAACAACATGCAGGGTAGTGTCCCAGAGCACTTAACAAGCGCTTAACAAGTTGACAAAGTGCTCCTCTTCAAAGCAGCAATGCTAATGGCACTTCACCCGCAACCCCTTTTACCTCCCCCACTTCACCCCACTCCCCCCCCCAACAGGTACCAACAGGTACCACGATGTTAACTACATTTTCTGCAGGGAGATTCATGTATATCACACCAACTCACAAGACTTCAATTCAAAGCAGATCTCGAGTCAGGGATCAAAGAGTTCAGAAATATTTAATCCAACAGAAACTCTGCTCCTGAGTTAGCTTCTTTCAGACACACAGAGTTGAGTTACTGCGGGTTCATGGTAGTGATATGATCTAATCATTACAAATTATTTGTAAATTCTGTTGCACATTTCATGTTTTTGATCCCATTGAAGATTGACTCTTTGGATGGTAAATTTATTGGGAGTTCACTAATCCTTGCCTAGCTTAAGCAAATATATTGCTTAAATGTTGTTATATTGATAATATTGCATTTTGTATAGTACATATTTGACCATCGAGATGTCTCAAAGTGCTTCACAGGAGATAGAATAAAGTGGATTGACTGTATATTTTGAGGGCAAAAGTATAAGTGATATTAGTAATAAACGTATATAAGTTACAGTAGGGACTTTGAGCTCATTATTTTGGCTGACACAACAGTACAGTTATGGGGGAGCACTGTATTGTCAGATGTATCATCCTTCAGATAAAACTTTAAACCAAGGTCCCATTTGCCTTTCAAGTTAAAGATCTCATGGCACTATTCGAAAAGATAAGGGGGGTTTCTCCTGCTGTCCTCGCTAACAAACCCCAACATAAAATGGGGTCTTTCATGGCTATTTGTGGGACACTGTGTGCAATTTGGCAGCTGCAGTGGCCTGCAAATAACAATCAGTGCACTTTACAGTAAATCCTGTGAACACTTTGAGATGTTATGATGATATGATAAGGTACTATAATAAATGCAAGAATTATTGTTATTCACTAACCAACATCCTTACTTACCCTCCAGCTTTGGTGTAAACAGACACTGTATACATCCCATGCTGGCTGGAGTCCCTCACAATAAAGGCTCCTTCTTTAGCCTGGAAGAAAAAAATACATAAATATCTAATTTATCATAGATACATTGTTTCCAAACCTATTAAAGATTATTAAAGATATTTTACTCTTGCAATTATTTAAGACCAGTTTATAAAAAGATCTTGTCAACATCTAGTATAAGAGAACTAACTGACCTATACTGTCCTTTTTGCTTTTGTTACATATGTTTAATGTAATTATTGCAGTTCATTTCCTTAAACTTGACATCTTTGCAAAACTAATTGAAGAGCTTTGAAAAGCAGTTGACTATACATCAGTATAGATTTAAGATTTATATCTAGGTTACCTCCTGCCGAAGAAGGTTTTCTGCTTTGGCCCTTGTTATATTTTTGCAAAACCACCTGGAGAAAAAAACAAAGTTTTTTTATTAAACTAATTTCTTTACTTGCATTAATCAATTCTGTGGGATGAAAGTAAGATATGCTGTAATTTCCAGCTGTATAAGCCCTTAGTCAATGACCTGCTAAGGAAATAGGTGTCAGCTTGGTTCATTCAGTTGAATTTTTGCCTCTGGGTCGGAAGATTGTGGGTTTTATCAGGATTTGTTGGGACACCATCTCGTCTCACACTTGAGTGCAGTACTGAGAGAGCGTTGGATTGTCCGAGGTACTGTCCTTCCATTAAGATATTAAACTAAAGTCCTGTCTACCTGTTGAGGAATTCTCCAAAATTCTATACCATTATTCAAAATGAGAAAGGAGTTTCTCTCAGTACCTTGGCCGACAATCTTCCAGGGAGATCAAAAGCACGGTTGAAGAGGAGGGTCTTGAGATGGGTCTTGAAGGTGGCAAGGGAGGGGCCAAGGCAGAGGGACTGCGGGATGGAGTTCCAACGGGTGAGGGCAGAATGGCAGAAGGCCCTCCCGCCAATAGTGGGGAAAGCGAGGCGGGGACGTGAAGCAGGCTAGAGCCCGCTAATGGAACAAGTAGCACAAATAGGACGCAATGCATGCTTTTGAGGGGCAAAATGCATTATCACCCTGAACTAGACACTCAAACAGGAATCATTTAATTGTCAAGATTAGCTATTCTTCTTGGATAACAGCGCTATTAGTGTGCATGAAAACAAGTCAGATAATGAACTTACTCAAATGCCTGGATATTGTTAGATTTCTTCTCTGTGACATAGTTGCTTGGGATGAATCCTTCATTTCTGAAAAAAGGGTCAAATACTTTTATTTATGCCTGTAAATCTGCCAAGAAACTCAAAGTAACAAATTTGATAAATGAACACAATAGAGGCAGAAAGAAAAACAAGATTAGAATAAAGTAGATGAGTCAACCAGCTCAGAACCAAGTGAAGGAAAATCGGGACTAGTGAAATGGGTTACAGGGTACTGTGCCTTCTTATGTTCCTAAAATGGGCTCATGATTTAGTAAAGCTTGGAGTATCCATTTGGAGCAGTCAACATAGACCATTATTGCTTACTCAAGGAAAGGCAGCAATTGGCACCGGTCAAACAAAAATGCCTATTGGAGGAACCATTCAGCATGATTAATCATAAAATAGCCACCTAAGGAAAGATTCGCTATTCTTCTAAATCCCGAGGTAAGGATTGAGCAAAAACTGGATCATCCACTGAGGGGAGGAGGTCAACGACTAAGGATACACTAAATGGTACTAGTCAGCATCTGTACAGGGCCCAGCATGTCCATCAGGAGATATTATTTGGAATGAAAGAGGATTGCCATTTTACTGTGGGATGAAACAGCTATGATCATTTTGATTCAAATCACACTGACTATTCAAAAACAAGCAATCCCCTTTCATTCCATTAATAGTATTTGCAAGTATTCCAACTATTAATTATTCTCCCAGTCATAACTCTTTCACAACACATTGACCCCATTTTTCCCAATATACACTAAGCCTGTGGGTTTGTGCTACTACTTTTAGTTTCAATACTGCTTACTCAGGATAATTCCTAATGGACATGCTGGGCCCTGTACAGATGCTGACTAGTACCATTTAGTGTATCCTTAGTCCTTGACCTCCTCCCCTCAGTGGATGTTCCAGTTTTTGCTCAATCTTTATCTCAGGAGGTACTTTATGACTTAATTATTATGACATACAGTAGTACCACATGAAAATGAATAGCTATAGCACAGCAAGATGACACTGTGAACAATCATACTGAACAGCAGCATTAGTGCTCCATAAATTTTATAAATATTGCTTTGGGTAGGTGGACAGACCAATATTTGGATTCATTCTAAGTTCAATATAAATATTGCCTTTGAATTCAACAATTATATAACAGCAGTTATGTTAGGAAAAAGTGCTGTATAATAGCATTCCTAATAACAATTTAAGTGCAAATGCAAGGATTATTTAACAATTTAATAAAACAATAATATTACAATCCTCAAGATAAAATTTACTTCATGTCTATTGTGGGACTTTGTTGTGAGTAAATTGGCTGTCACGTTTGCCTACAAATATAGAAATCTTTGACCCTCTTTGAGAAGCTCTCAATGGTAAAAGGTACTATATCAAATTTAATGATTTTTATTAATATTTATCCTATAAGACTATTTACTTCCATGCTGAAGTTGTTTCAAAACTATGTATGATCTTGTTTCTACATCAACAACAAATTACATTTGTATAGCGCCTTTCATGTCCGGAGGATGTCCCAAAGCGCTTATTATTATTATTACATCTACAATAATGTAGATATTGCAGCTGCAATATCTGTTTATTGTAGATACAGATCTACAAATCCATGTCATTCTTAAGTGCTTTTTCCAGTTTGAACTGGGTGTATGGATTTCATTGAATTGACTCTGCATAACTGATGAGACTTGTATTGAGATGATACTAACAGAATCTGTTTTCCCAAATACCCGTCGCAACTCAAACATTGCATCAAATATTATTTCATGAACTACTATATGGTAAAAAGTTAAAAAAATGCAGAAAATATGGTTCCTACCCATGCTTGTCTCTTGCTTTCCACCAGTGGGGGTCACACTTCTGAAGTATTGTGTATTCCTCGTATTTCCTTAGATTTAACACAGTATCTTCCTGGGCAAAGAAATCATACACTGCTATAACCTTAAGATCCCCTTCCTCATCTTCATTATCTGGTGGAGGCGGTGGTGGTTTCCTTCTTGATGGGGCTATCCCATACCTGTTTGGCTGAACGGGGGAAAAAGTTGCTTAGTACCTGGATCAATAATGCAATATTCATAAACAGGATTTAAGTCACTAACTATAACTTTCAGCTTGCAGGTTTCAGACTGTGAGTTTCTCAAACTGTGAAAGCCATGACAGCAACTTCCACAAAAAGGCTGATGAGTAAAACATTGTTTGAAAGTTGCCAGCATTTCTCTCGCCGGCCTTTGCCAGTTTAGGACTTGCAACTTAGGGGTTGCAGATGTGCTGAATTCCAAAATAAATATGATGTTAGTGTTTAACAGCTCTTAAACGGATGAGGTGCAGGACTTTACCTTGCATGAATGCAGCGTAACTGTCAATTTGAATTTAAATAAGAATAATATTTTCATACCGCGTGACGGTGTGAACGTTACGACTGTTGATGTTTTAATTAACAGCTGAAATATACAGCCTGTAAATGTCTAAGTTGTTGACCACGGGTGTTACATCTCACTAAAATGACCAAAAGACACTGTTATACAATAAACGTGCAGTTAGAACACATCACCTACTCGATATTGATATGATGGCAGGCGTTCGCTCAAGGAATATTCGTCCATTGCATCATTATTTAGACTCATTTCGGTCGCCACTGCTCTGCAATTTAAAACAAAGCAAACAGTGTTGAGCATAACATTGAGAGTATAGACACAGTCTGCATAGTTTCACTTAAAGTAAATGAATGCATTTCAGGGGAACATGACAATCATAACAAAAACAAACTTACCGGTTTTGAAGTGAGCAGCAACAGCAAAACACCGACTGCATTGTGTGGTCTGTAAAGGAAGAAATTTAAAAATAACCATTATTCATAATATGGATTAAACGTTCCCTCAGACACTTCTGAAATATCCAGGTGCCTGAGAATATTTGGGTGTACTAAGTTAATTTTATAGGGCATCCTTTCTTCCTGATACTATAGCCCCATTGTTCAGTGTCATTCTGACTCAATCGCTTTTGGCTCAGAGGTTTGTTGGTTCAAGCCCTGTGTTGGTACATTAAGTTTCCAGTCTAGATTGACACTCCAGTGCAGATTGGGGAGTGTTACATTATTGGAGGAGCTGTCCTTCACATGAGATGTTAAACTTGGGTTCTGTCTGCTTGTTCAAACAAATAAATAAACAAACAAATTCCACTTATATGCTAAAACAGAAGTCGCTGGGAACACTCAGCAGGTCAGGCAGCATCTATGGAGAAAGGAAAGCGAGTCAACATTTTGGGTCCATGACCCTTCATCAGAACTGGGGCATGTTGGGAGGGAGAGGCTTTTAAGGGCTAACAGACAGGGGGGAGGTAGGGCAAGGAAGACAAAGGTAAATATCCATTTACATAGTGTCTTTCACGTCAGGAGAATATCCCAAGGCACTGAACAGTTGAGAGTTTGCACCTGAGCTGGGGTTCAGGAGGGGTGGGGGGCAAGTGGGGTTTTGGGAAGATGACCGAATGTGTGGTCCAAGAATAAGCTGTTGAGTTGGACCTTGAAAGAGGCAAGGGAAGGAGCAAGGCAAAGGGACTCCAGGATGGACTTCTAGAGAGTGGGAGCGGATAGGTTGAAGGCCCGAAAGACGATGGTATAGCATACAGGGTAGGGGATGTTCAGTTGCTTTTAAAGATCCTAAGTCACTCTTTAACAATGTCCTGGCCAACAATCCTCCACATAAACTGATCATTCACCTGAAAGCTGAATTTGTGTGCAAATTGGCTGCCATATTTGGCTAAAACATACGATAAACATACGTGGAGTCCTGTAGCTCAGTGGTTAGAGCACTCGCTTTGCAAGCGAGAGACCTGAGTTCAATTCCAGGCAGGGCGAACCCATGGGCAAGTTTCCTTACTCCATACACCTAATAATAATCCCTCCAAAACCAAAAACAATTATGAATTGGTCATTTTCAATCTACGACTGTTTGTGGGACATTGCTGTGCGCAATTGGCTGCCGCGTTCGCCCACAAATATACAGTCAATTCACTTTACAGTGTGTTCTGTGAAGCGCTTTGGGACATCCTCCCGACGTGAAAAGCGCTATATCAAATGCAAGGATTATTATTATTATTAAACTCCTTTGAGACACTTTAACAATATAAGGTACCATATCATATACAACAATTATTATTATTATTACTATTATAATACGTTATAATGTTAAACATCCTATAACCCTATTCAAAAAGAAAAGCAAGAACAGAAATTGGAATTGGCTTTGGTATTAAAAGCAGGCAAATGTTCTGGCCTGCAGCAGGGGGAACCTATGTGTAATGATAATAATTCTTGTGTTTGCTATAGCAATGCTTAAATCAAAGATCTTTACAGTAAGTGTGTATTTGTAGTCAAACACAGCAACCAATTTCCCTACAGGAAGGGGTAAATGAATAATTTATCTGGAGGATTGCTGGCCAGCTCACCAAGAGACTTTTCTTCTCTGTTTGAACAGTGTAATGGGTTATTTAAAACAGATAGGATGTCAGTTTGATGTCTCATCCAAGAGACACTACTTTGAGAATGCAGCACTCCCCGAATACTGTACTGGACTATCAAATTAGAGCTTCCTTGAACGCACAATCTTCTGACCCAAAGACTGCTATCAAGTGCTACTTGATACCTGCTGAGACAAGCTGACAACTACAAGCTGATATAGCAGTCTTGTGCTCACTGCCTAGTAGCCAAATATATCATTGGAACCATCTCTACACGTGCAACTGTTTTAACAATCCTGCAGCAACTGTTTTAACAATCCTGTTGGTCCTGTGCTAATGTAGATCTTAGAACCACGGCATAGACCATAGCTCTGTAACACATGTACATCACTGGTTACAAAACAGATGTCAAGCCTTGTGCTATTTTCATGCCCTTCTTTTAAACCAAATAAGGTTATTACGCAGAATTACAAAGAATGTTGCAGCACAGAAGCAGGCCATTCATTCCAACTTGTTTGTGCCGGTGTTTACATTCTACATGAAGCTCCACACCTCCCAATCCCATTTCCCATACCCTGGGTGGGTATAATAAAATGAATAGATCAATGGGCTGAAAGATCTTCCTCATCTGAACCTCTCCTATGGTATTGTGAAATACTTACATGATATCCCTTGAGGTAGTGTATGGGAGGCAAGTATTTTATTGTCAAGCCATTTATTCACTCACAAAATATACAGTCAATTCACTTTACAGTACATCTTGTGAAGTGTTTTGGGATGTTGTAACGGTGTGATAAAGTGCAATATCTAATGCAAGGATTATTATTATAGATTGCTATGCCATAAGCACGTCAGTCAAACATCAAGTAACATATAAGATGATGAAGTATTATGTTGATGGCAATAACCTTTGTCCTTGATCCCTGAATTTAACATTGCTTATCCAAAATACTGTCCATTGGCTACAGATAATTTAAATTATAGTTTAGGGATTACTGCTCTGAAGTAACTTCGATAAATCAATTATTACAATATATTCTGTGAAGCTCTTTGAGATGTCCAGAAGACGTAATAAAGTGCAATATCAAATGCAAGGATTATTATTATTATTTGCCAAGGAAACCACCTCATTTTATTTGTTTGGTTGTTTTGTGTCACCTTTTCAACAGTAAGGTTTTTTTTGAGTTTCATACTTTAACATATGTCCATTTAGGAAATAAAAGTGATTCTCTAATTCTTTTCATTGTTGTTAACCATAAAATTAGGGGTACTTGTAATTCCCTTTATAGAAATAGGTTTACACATGGTTAGCCCAAACCCGCAAATTGGACATGAGAATGTTAATGTTTACTTTCACCATCTTAAAGATAAAATATTTTCCCTTCATGTAATTTTAGATTACGAGTACAATTAAGAGTCAACTTACTTATCAATGGTGTTGATTCATGCAGATGAAAATAAAAACAATGCAACATAGATATTCTGAATAGATTCCAGTCCAGGAAATCCCTTGATAAATAGAAGATAAATACATTCCCATCCGTAGTCCTCCACAGGCAAGTCTTTAACACTTGTGAAAGAAATAACCAAGGAAATAACCAGGTCCTGTAGTCAATGCCATGTGCTGACTTTTAGTATTGTTAATGTTTCAGGATTATTGTCCATGTTGTGCTAAGTCACAACAACAAAAAGGAAACCATACATCTATGTGAAAGACCAGCTAGCAGATATGAGCGTAGAGCAATGGCTCTAAGGAAAGCCCAAATTTGGATCTTCGTCTTGACTGATATCCGCTGCTTGTGGTTTCTCTCAAGACTAAGTTGGTTAGTCAGCCAAGTCACCTGAGGGAGTGGAAGGACTTCCTTTGTACTACTCTGGCCTGCTTAGTGGGTTAGCTCAGGAACTGGTCAGTGGCTGAGTCAATTCATCTGAATGTAGAGAACTAATCCAGAGGGAGAAAAGAATAACATGACAGTCACATTACTGACCGAAGTCCAGAATGGAGATTAGGAAAAATGTTTTCACACAGAGAGTGGTAGGAGTGTGGAATTCTCTGTTTCAGTCAGTTGTTGGGGTGGTAACCCATGTGGACCTTTCATAGAAAGAATGGACATATTGTTAAGAGGGAATAAAATTGAGGATATGCAGTGGTGGAGGGGCTGGGGCAGGGTGGGGTAGTGGTGGGGGGGGGGGGAGATATGGGACTAGGCATAAGATCTAGGATAGATTCTCATGTGGAATATAAACATCAGCCAAACTGGATGGGCTGAATGGCCTGTTTCTGAGCTGTACCTTCTGTGAATCTATAAAACCCATAGAAGAGTTCTGAGACTTAGCATAACTGAATTTATTGGGAGGTCTCTAGCAGTCTCCTGCCAAACCAAACCCTACATGATGATTATCCATAATCTTACAATTCTGAATGCTCACTTAAATATGTTTAGACACTAAGATAGTTTCACCTTTTAATTGTATGTACACCAATTTAATTGGTGTACAAGATATTAATTTGAGCAAATGCCTCATTCATAGAGATAAAATGTTTAGCTCCTTGTGACTGTTATTAAGGAGGAGACTGTCAAGGTATAAAAGGAAAGCAGTTGGCAAGTTGAACTTCTTGTTGGTAAACTGGGATGCCATTTGCTCAAGAATTCATTATGGTCAATTTAAAGAAAGCCTTTGAAGACCTAAAGATGAATAGTATATATTTAGCTACAGAACCGTAAAGACCTCCACATTTTAGTTATGAAGCATCAGCATCAATATGCTGGATAAAGATTTCTATTTATAACTGGGGTTGTAGGCGGTGTCATATTACTTTGTTGCAGTTCATTAATGGAACATTAAGATTCAGGGTAAAATTCAAAGATATGCAGATTGTGCGAAACACATTGATAGGTCATGTGATGGGAAATATGTTGCTTCGTTGAACCTGGCAACCTTTCGATCAGAGAACCAATGCTGAGAAATACCACACAACATTTTTTTCCACAGCTGCAAAATGGTGTTTTATTTTTGAATCAGGCATTTACAATCCCACTCACAACATTACACCTAGGCCCAACCTAAGGGTGACTAAAGCTATGGTTGAAGAGATTGCTTTCCAGGAGACCTACTAACAGCAGGCATAGGTATTGTACTAGTTGACAGAGGCTAAATACCATAGGACAGGTGTCAACCTGTCTCAATTAATGGCACTCTCACTTCTGAGTCAGAAGATTATGAGTTCAAGTCCCATGTTAGGACTTTGAATGCACAGTCAAGGTTGTCACTCTAATGCAGTGCTAGAGGAGTACTTCATTGTCAGACCTGCTGTCTTTCGGATGAGATGTTAATCAAAATCACACCTGTCTGTCCAGGTGGGCATTAAAGACTCCATGGTACTGTTCAAAAAGAGAAAGGAGTTTCTCCTGGTGTCCTGTCCAACAAACCCCACAAGTAAGATTGGTCATTTACTTCATGGCAGTTTGTGGGACACTTGTGGAAATTGGCTGCCATATTTGTCCATAAAACATAAAGTCACTGCACTTCACAATATATCTTGTGAAGTGCTGTGGGATGTCCTCCTGACTTGAAAGGTACTATACCAAATGCAAGGATAATTGATTGATGGTACTAGAGGGCATAGTTACTGAAGGCTCTGCCTCCAATGGCAGCGATTTAGAAGTTTAAAATAATAGAAACTTGAGGTACTAGTTGACACCTGGTGTACACGGAGCAATATTCCAATAAAAGGTAAAAAACAGTCAGTTGTTCTCAGGAGAGAATTAAAGAGTGAAAAATTAAACCATTTGTGAGTTGTTTTTAATTAAAATATTTTGTTAAACTCTGCATTCCTCTTAATCCGGTTGTTGCCAAGTTCCATTTGTTCCATCTCCCAATGGATAAATGCCCTCACCCTCACCTAGAAATCCTTCCACACTCCACTATCTTCTTATCTTTCTGATCTCCTCCTACCCCACTTTTGCTCACTCCCACTGCTCAGCAAACTCAGGCTTGCTGCATGTCCCCACCCTCTCCATAACACCATCAGTACCTGAGCCTTCAGATACTACACCACAAATCTCTAGAACTCCCTCCCTCTCCGTCTCATCCCCTCTCTGTCCTTAAGCCTTGCCTTAAAACCTATAACCACGCCTATGGCCATTTCTTTGTCTCCCTTGCTCAGTGTTGGACCCCATGTTTGTACAGTCCTCAGAGACCTTATTACACATGAAGAAGCTGTATAAATGCAAGTTGTTGATGTTAAAACATTGAAGGAGAAAGTACTTTAAATTACTTTGTGCCTTTCAATCAGTTTTCTTTTGTCAGAATTGTTTTTAATTAGCTGTGCTACACAAAAAAAAAGTTTCCCTTCCTTTTTCTTTCCTCTCTTTTACATATCTATAGTATGTATTATTCAGAGTCTCATTTCATATCCTGTCACTTAATTTTCTCTGAGGAAGTGGTCTATGTCCACTTGACACTTCCTACCATCAGCCTAGATGTAATTGGAAACTCATCGTATGTGTGGGGGTAACTGTGAACATTGAACTGCGTCCAAACACAAGTCCATTAACACGTTACATCATCAGTGGCAACTCATTTAACATGTTTTCAATGGTTCTCTTGTGCGCACAAGTTTTTGGAATCAGTTCTGTAATCTGAATTCCTGAGAACATATAACAGCACACAGACACCAGCACCAAATTATACAAAGACCAGAAAATGGTGAGTGGAAAGGTGCATCTGTGGCTGTTTATTTTACTCAATATCAGTATCTGACATTTGAGAGTTTATTATTTTTACTTATTATTTTTACATTATGTCAGCCGAGAGGCTGATGTAAAATGCATCTGTAAAATGTAATAGAGAGAACAAATAGTCTGTGACATGGTCACATGCCTCTTGTGGAGAAGATGATGCGGCTTTTGAGCGCAGTATGAGCACCCGAATAGAAAGAGACCCAGCAGTGAGAGCAAGGCACGAAGGAAATGCAGCACACTGACCATGGACGCAGGAACCCTCACTCCTGGGTATCAATATTTCTTGAATTCTGCCATAAATCAAGAAATATTCAATCAAGAAAAAAACTGAAAACACTACCGTTCGAACACAGACTTACATTGATTCGTCCAAATGTTGGGGGGTGGGGGGGGGGTGGGGGGGGGGGCACTTCCTGGCAGCCCCCTGGGCGACTTCTAGCCTGCGGATCATAGGTTGGCAACTACTGATATAAACCAGAGTGGTCCAACCATTGTCCTGCTGGAGCCCAAAACATCAGCAGGCCACATAAGCAATATTTTTGTGTTTCTCTTCCAGAAACATAACAATTACATATTGTAGAAAGGACATCTCAATCGCTCAACACTGCTGGCTGGGTGGGAGCCAAGGGAGGAGGGGTGGGGAAGGGAAAAGATGACCGAAAGTGCAGTCAAAGAGTTAGGTCTTGACGTGCTTTGATATAGTGGAGGGAGGGAGAGAGTCTGAGGGTTTTTGGGAAGGGAGCTTCAGACAGAGGAGGCAAATTGGCAATGGTGGGGCGGATGGGGTGAGGGGGACATGAAGCAAGCTGGTGTTTGCTGGGCAAAGGGAATGGCTGGATTGGGGATATCTCAGAGATAGGGTGGGAATGAAGGCCGTAGAGGAGTTTCTCACTGGGGAAAGAGGGAGCTTGCTGTGAGGAACGCACATCAGGTTGCTGAGAGTCTGTCTTCAGTCTTCCCCATGGTGGCCAACGGAGGCTCCGATCATCCGTCCTGACAGTGAACCACAAAACATTGTCCTCAGTTCCCCTCTCCCTCATGCTCTCTCACTCGCTGCTTCTCTCTCTCCCTCTTCCTTATGCGCTCTCTCTCTCTCCATCTCTGTCAATGAATGACTTTCTCTCCCCTTCTCTCTCTCTCAATCATGCTTCCCTCTCTTTCTCAATCACTCTCTCTCTCACACACTCTCTCCCTCTTTCACAAACCCTCTTTCTCTTTCAATTACTCTCTCTCACTCCCCCTCTTTCACACCCTCTGGAAAAAATTATTCTGTTCTATAATTCCTTTAGGACTTTAGTCATAATTTAAAATAGAGCTCAGACTGATAACCAGTCTGCCATTTAAGGTCAAGTAGCATCAACAGCAACATTAGATGGATGTTCAAAGATCTTCACACAGATGGCAGAGAACCCGAGGTGAGGTGGGGAAAGGTGGGTGGGGGGGGAAGAGAAAGCGGGGAGATCTGAAATGGGGGAGGGGGAGAAAGTTGGTTGAAAGCACAGTCGAACGCACAGTCAAAGAGGTAGGTCTTGACGGGTTTTGAATGCCAACTGAGAGGGAAGGTAGAGGGACTAGTAGTAGATGGAATGCCAAAAGTGGGGACCAAGTGTCTGAAATGATGGTGGACTGGGGAGCCAGGGGAGCTAAGTGAGGATGGGAAAGCGGGCTTGAGGAACCTGGTGCGAGAGACGACACAGGCAAGGACAACTGAAAAATACCGTACCATAGAATTACTATGATATATAATTTCTAATTCTGTGTCATAATTGAAGTTTGCAATTGCAACATTGTGAGATGCAATTGAAACCTACACATTTCTATCAATATTATCAAGGCAGGAAATAGAGCATGTGTATGAAAACCTCGAGCAGTACCGGAAACTCCTGTCTTCCTGTCTTTAGTATATGCATCACATCTGTTACCCTCTCCACCTCAAAACAATTTTTACCTTATTAAACCAACCATTGCCACAGGAGGAAAAAGTACCAATATGTTCACGTTCTTCCTTGCAAGGGCCGATTTTGTCCAACTATTTTGTCCAAAAATAACAAAACCCTTCTCCTTGCACTAATACTTTCAGTAGATGTATTATTTTTTTCTTTTCAAAATTGCAAAAGTCACTGAGTGATCACCACAAACCTGATATTTACGTACATGTGCCTTATCATTCGAAAGAAATTGGAAAAAATGTGTGTACGTCTCAATCGGCTGCAGCAAATCAAGACATATTTGCATAAGTCAATATACAGTCAATTCACTTTACAGTATATTCTGTGAAGCGCTTTGAGACGTCTCGAAGACGTGATGAGGCGCTATATCAAATACAAAGATTACTATTATATGATGTGAACTCAGCAGGTCCTCACCCTCACCTAGAAATCCTACTGATATAAACCATTGTGTAAATAAATATATTCAAACAAACTAAAGTGTAATTAAAGAAATAGAACCATGGAAATCTATAGAACAGAAAGCATCTATTCCGTACATCGTGTCTGTGCTGGATCTTTTAGAAAGCAATCCTGTCAGTCCTTTTTCCCCATAGCCCTGTCGTTGATTCATTTTAGATATCTATCCTGTCCTCTTTTGAAAGCGAATATGGATTCTGCCTCAACCACCATTCCCAGTCGGTGATCCTATATGCTAACAACCCTCTGCATGAAAATTAATGGTGGATGTATTAAAAATGTTTTTAATACATTTCTACTCAAATATTTGAGTACTTAAAAAAAAATTGGGGATGTCAGTTTTTTTAACTTTCATTTCAATCTCAATATAAAACATTCATTTACAGGTATACAATCACTGTCCTTTACTGTAAACCATGTGAAGCACTTTGCTTTGCACTATTGCACCATGATAAAAGCGCGAGACATGTTTTAAATTTTTTTAAAACTTTGTTATATTAAAAAAAACTAATTCTTTTGTAGTATATCTTGGTGCCCTCTGCCATGTAATTAAGTTCAAATATTTGGGCCAGCAAAATTAAAATTGGAATTGTTTTAATATAAACGTAATATTGTATTACTTTATTGGTAGTAACAGACAGTATAATGGTTCATGTCTTTTGTTTTTCAGATAGCACACTTTGCGTAGAATCAATATTAATACAAGATTGAATTTGAAACATGTAGCATATTGTATGAAAAAGTGAATTACCAAACAATACTTATTTTAAACTAACATTAAGTTGTAAATGTTTTATTCACAAGAAACTTCAGATCGCACAAAACTAAAATTACCCATACAACGTTTTCAGCCTGCCCAATTCATAAAAAGGTGGTTTAACAACACATTCTAACTGTCACCATTTCAAGATTTCTATCAATGTAAAACACCAAATCTTTGCTTTAGATGAAAACTTTTAGTTTACTTACAGGTGGAAAGTGTCATCTTGTTTCTTTTGGTGCAGTTTAAACTATCCTTTTAAATGCTGAATACTGAACCCTTGCAGAATGATTCATTTGCAGACTTTCAAGTTTCTATCTGATAACTGATTTGAAGCGACATCACTCAGGATATGACGCACACATTATGGCCTGATCTGAACAGGTTGATTCAAAATATGAATTCTCTCACAGCAGAGACACCCACTATCGAATATGTTCAGTGAAAAATAGGTTTTACCTTTTCAATATCCCACTTCCAATGGCAGCTTTCTGGAGGTCAAATATTTTCTGATAAAATTAGAAACTCTAAATTATACCACAAAGAACCAAAACATGTCCCAGCATTTGCTTGTCTGTAAGGTTACTTTTGCAACTGGACATAACCTAGTTGGGAGCGAGGGGAGTGGGGACAACCAAGTATCTTCAAGAGAGAGGACCGAGGGGAAAGTTGACTGGAGAGTCACTTATTGATTTAAACTAAAGACTTTAAAATAGCTCGCCAGATTGCTTAAAGATCCCAAATATACAGATCAAAAGGCCATGGGTTCAATTCCTGATCCGTGCCAATTTAGTAAAATACATTTGGGCGACCACAATTTGTCTTACAGATGTAAGATAGGAAAAAAGCCACTTCTGATTACCATTTAGTGATCTCTTTGGAAGTTCCAATGTGTGCACATTGGGTGAGAACAGCATTGACCTTATCCTTCACAATCAATTAGCATGTACTGTCTGACCTCACTCGAGCACGGTGCTTGAAGCCTGTAATTTTCACGGGACTTTTGCGGTCAATTGAGCGTCACGGAAACCCATCACCATCCTTCAGAGTATCTAAACCAAACAGAGTTCCATGCATCACATCCCTACATGGATATTCCAGAGATCTTTGTTGGAATGGAATGCGCACTCTCTCCCTGGCGGAACGCATGCCGTTTACCTAAAAGTATTGGGCATCGATTGGCAAGAGCCAAGGATTGGGATCCCAGAGTGTGCATTGGGGTACTGCTAAAAATGCACAGCTTGCCATTGATATCACTGTCTGGCAAGCTTTTCCACTGCTTGTTCAGCTTGGACCACCCTAGGTTTGCAGGGTTACCAGGAGCTGAGTGATTCTCTGCCTCCAGTGACTTGTCTGCCCTTCCAGGTCCTGCTCATGAGCCAGGCTGACTGTGTTGTCATTAGCAGTGCCCTGGAGTACTGCAGACCCGCCTGGCTCAGGAACTGCAAAATTGTATTTTTACACAAAAAAATTAAAACTGTTTGGAATAATCTACTAATGTAACAAAATAGTTGCCTTTTTATCATCTCTCACTTTGATGATCTTCTTATACTCAAATTATTCATGAAGCAGTGATTAGATCAGATTTCTCATTTCATTATTTTTATTTTGCCATATTTACAAGGTCAAAAGAAGAAAAAGTACAACAGAAAATGCTATAAGTTTCATTCTTATTTTGTTAAATAATTCAGTGTCATTACCAGCATGAGCAACAGATAAATACAATTATTGCATTTACTCTCAAAATTAATCACTCAATGAGAATTTATTTATTTATGTGTGATCATTTTTGGGATCATCCTTTTCTCAAAACATACATTTCCAATTCCTGAATTTATGTATGAAACAAATAGGAAACTGGACAGCAAGAGAAAGTAATTCAAGGCATTTTACTCATTAATCTAGAGATCTACCCGTTTCCCAAACACATTTTGAGCTTACACCTAGAACAAACCCTAAAATGTTTTCAGTACAGTATAAACAAATTTCTAAATTAGAAATTTTTCAAAAATATAACCACCACCTAATTATTTTCTAGTGTTGGAATTTCCTTATTCTTGGCAAGTTAAAACGTTTTGCTTAAAATAAGTGAACATTTAATAAATATTATAAAACAATGCAGAACTACATACATATTTTCATCTTTGGAAAGATCCATTGCTAGGTAGGTTTCCCTCTTTTTTTTGGTGAAATTAAAAGATTTTCCATGGATTTAATAAAACGTCAGAACAGGTTCAATGGGCAGAGTGGCTTACACACACCTTTATATCCATGGGTGGGGAAACATTTTTCTGATGTGCTTTGGCTGAGTTTGTAAACTTGGCTGAAAAGGAACCTATTTCAAACATGGATGCTATTACTCCACATTACAGCTAATGTACTATAAGACTCTCAAATTAATAAAAAAATTTCAAACCATTCTGTTATTTACTTTGTTTAATCAAATGCAAGGATTAATCAAAATCATTTCAGTGTGCCTGTGTGTGTTAGACATGTTTATATATAATAGTTGCATGCTCAGTGGACATTCTAATTTGGTGGCCAAGGCATGAAGAAAATCTCATCAGTTTGAATCGTTCAGATTAATTTGTCATTCACTTTGTGGCTGCTTGTGGGATCTTGCCTACAAAAGCAGTCACTTCACTGACAGTAATTATCTGTAAAGCTCTTGAGATATTTTAGCATGATAAGGTTATAAAATTGCAAGATTTTTCTTCTTTCTAAAACAAAAGAAATGAGGGTATGAACACTTGACTAAAAAATGCTTTTTTAGTTCCAGCAGAGCATTCCTCATTCAATTGTTCTTTGATAGATACCAAATTATATCTATGCAAATATTTCACTAGCAATAATTCTATATTAGTTTTACATTTTGCTACTGGAAAAAGTGCCCTAAGTTTTGTGAAAATGTAGTGGTGCCTAATATAAAAATGAGGCTACGAACATGGAATCATCATAACAGATTAACCAGAAATGTTTTTAAATTGAATATAATTTTTTATGTCTAATACTGCCCATCAAGTCACACATGTAATAATTTGGGTAAGTTACGAGAGGCAACCAGCGCCCGGTGAACCAAACCTAGTTGGGGGAGTGGTGGTGGGGGGAACCCAATATCTTGAGGAGAGGAGTGAGGAGAAAGTTGACTGGTGAGAAAAAAACACCTTCACACCTTCAGAGCTGTTCAGTTATACAAAACTTACTTAACTAAATAATAGCTCCAGTTTGAAACTATCACAGTCAAACCTGTGAAAGCAACCACCTCTATTCAACAACGCCTGCTGTCAAAAACCACTCTGGAACAACCCCATAATGAACGATTTTCCATAATGAACCACCTCTAGTAGGGTCTGTTCAACAAACCAATGAGCCCTTACTCAGAGGCCACCCTTATATAAAGGCCACTTTAATCCTATCCTCTGAGAGACTGCTGAACACAGATTTGACTGTATATGGGGTCATTACTGTTTTGTGTACTCTAATCATAAAAGATGATAATCATGGAAAACCAGCAGGAGAACCAGAATTCTCATCAATTCAGTGCATAGTGGTTTACAATGTATCATTGGACTATGAAGATCTGCATCAACATATACAATATAAATTGTGAGGCTGCAGTAATCTTTGTTAAGTGTGCAATGGATTATAATCTTTTCAGAAATCCGTATGAGACAATCCATTCAGGTTTCAAATCACTCCAAAGAGGCTTCTGTTGAAACATCGCTCTTACGATTTTCTCGTAGTTCCGAGCAGTCCAAAACCAATTGCAAGTCTCTTCAACTGTCATATTCCACTAACTGGTTGATCATCAGCAACAACTCACAAAAAGTTGGTCGTCCTTCTGGTTTCTGGAAAGAGAAACAGTGAATTCTAACTAGAATGAAAGAAAATGTATAAAATTAAATATTAAATAGTGCAGGATTCAGAATATCAAAATAATCTAAATGTGGTTTTCCAGAATAAGAAATGTATGACATATAAACTCCCTACTGGAGTTCACTTCTCTATTCCAATTCCTGTGGTTTCTCCATACTAGTTTACACTTTGGTTTTTTTAATATTCATGGCATTCCCATTCAAATGATGTGATTGTCTCAGCTTCCTATTTCAGTGAGATGATAACAGGCCCAATAGGCTCTATTCCAGTTTGTTTGACACCATTCAATGTTAATTGAATAGTAGCAACTGCACTAGATTGATTTGTTTTACACTGAAACTGGTCCAGTCATACTATCACCATGTTTAAACTGCTAAAACAAGTTAGAGAACAAAACTCCACTCAATGCTTAAAAACACAGACATATCCATTTGCTCAAAAGTATTTTACTTAAATTCTGCCAAAAGATTAAGAATATAATTTTTGAATTTTAAAATATATAGAATTTCTTGAATCTTAGCATATTTTGGAAATTAATTTCTAGGAACTAATTTTTAAAAATCATGCCAGAACTTTTCTATTGATTTCTGGATTTTTTCAAATATTTATTGTGCTGGATTTTTCTTCTTGTGCTGCTCTATTTAAAACTCCCCTCCCTGGGTTTTGCCAAAGCTAACTCTGCAAAGTCTTTTTTTTTAATTTTTTTAAAATAATTTTTTTCTGATTCTCCTTTGCTCCATTCACAGTCTAACACTCGATTCATTCTGTGCTATTGGCTTTCACAAACACTAATTGTATGAATCTTGCGAGTTATAACACACTTACATCCAAATATAATGGATAATATTCGATAAACAGCAACTAATGTAAACAATTGATCAGTAATTTAAAATTAAAGTTTGTTATAATAGCCCGAACTGATTAAAGTAGCCTCAACACCAACCTCGTGCCAACACTGGGTCATGATCTCATACACAGCATTCGATGCCCGTTTCGGACGATAGAGTCGAAATCCAGATGTAATTAATTGAACCACCTCAGCATTTGATTTAGTCTCAAATGGCATTTTTCCCTCAATGTAAACTTCCCACATCAAAACACCTGGCAATAAGAAAAGGAAAGTGTTTGTTGTAAAATGCCAAATGCATCAAATAGAATTTCATCAAATCAATATTGGACATTAATGTAAAAGGTTTTTTAATACCACAGGACAACATAACTTGGGTTGCCCAACATAACCAGTGTATAGTAACAGGAATGTACAAAATTGGAAAAAACATTTATGGTTCATATTTTATTACTAATTCCAGCTATCAATCTAGTTGCCCTTTGCTGTATCTCTACAATGTTCTTACTGCAATAAGGCGATCAAAATATCTATCCAATATTCCTCATTGGATTGGATCAGTGTTCTATAAAAATTTAGTATCACTTTTCTGTGGTTTATCCTTTTTTTCCTTTAGCTCCGACCATTATTATTATTATTTATGATAGACACAAAGATGATTCTGTTAAGGTCCTGTGGCAGCATTCAGAAAAAGAGAGCTTCTTCCAGTGACCTGGCCAACAATTCCCCAAATAAGATTGGTAATTCACTTCATGGCTGTTTGTGGGACATTGCTTGTGGAAATGGGCTACCCCGTTCACCCATCAAAATTGAAAAAGCAGGCACAGGGGTAGTTGTGCTTACAGCTTGCTCGTAATTATCCTTGTTTCACCCACAAAATACACAGTCAATCGACTTTACAGTATATCTTTGAGACGTCTCAACAATGTGAAAAGGCACTATATCAAATGTAAGGATTATTACATTTTACATAATAATCCTTGCAATTGATATAGCACTTTCCACATCTTCTAGACGTCTCAAAGTGCTTCACATAATATACTGTGTTGTTATTGTTGATGGAATTTACATGGTAAACTATTACATAATGATTACATTGCAGATTTTTTTTGCATTATTGAAGAGGATTTATTTAGAATTCTTATGTCAGAAATGCCATTAAATTGACATTTTGCGTGAATCTGAATAGAAAGAAATATTATCGAGGGAAGTAAAAGATTACTTGTACATCAAATCAAAATGTATCTTACCGAATGACCATACGTCTGATTTACTGCTGAATTTAGAGTAATGCAACACCTCGGGAGGCGACCATTTCACTGGGAACTTCGTACCTGATGAACTAGTGTACTGATCATCAAGGACATACCTGGAAATGTCAAATTAAGGTAACTGTCAATCACATCAATTGGAACCGTGAATTGATCAGTCACATAAAATCCAAAAGGATCATCAAAAGCATAAAATCATTACACAACAAAAACATAAAGTTAAACTACAATCAAATCTGCTGGATCAAAGACTTTGCCAAATTCACTCACAGAATGTTTAATTTGTGATTTTTGCCTTTTATTCTTTTCCAATTATATCAGATTTTCACGCACTCATATTCTTCAATAACTCAGTGATAGGAAACCTGGTTACGTTTCCTGGTTCCTTTGCTCTGAACCCTTTCTAAAGGAGTTTACCACTTACAATGTTTTTAATTTCTCTTTCACTGATACTTTTCTGTTTGAAGTTGTTACCTATTTGGATCTGGAATTGCCTTAGTCTGCAAGGGTTTAGAACCAGCTGAATATACAGAAATGCCAAATGAGCATTAACCTATCCTTCACTAACTTCAATGCTCTCAGATTGGTAACCGGGTCATCGCGAAGCAACTTCCCTATCAAGGCAAGAAGCTGCTCAGAGGTTCAATTGTTTCCCTCATCTACCTCACGAGAACAGATCTTGATACGAGCAGAGTATCAGAATTGTGCATCTCTCTGGGAGGGAAAATTCTTCACCAAATTAAAGGTGTTCCTCTACACCAGATAGAAAACAAAATGTTCACGGCACTTTGTCTTGAAACTGCTTTTGTCCCTCACAAATTCAAAAATGATGATCGATAATTCAATAATCCAAACAAATACAAATGAAAACTAATGAAAACCAAATCACTGTGCAACAGGATTTGTAGGGATTCATTATTTTACCTCGTCATTCCAAAATCAGATACTTTCACCACATGTGATTCACTCACTAAACAGTTTCTGGCAGCCTAGAAAGAAAGAAATCAGTTGCATTTCAAATGTATTTAAAGTATATGTTCGACAACTTTATTCACGATGAATCCCTTTTTCAAATTGCAAAGGTGAACATTCCTTAAATGACATTCCACAAAATAACACAAAAGCCACCATTTATGTGCAACAACACCTTTAGTAACTGTGGGCCGTCAGCAAGCAGTCCTGAACATTCACATGAGCATAGGTAATTCCTTGTTTGATCAGTAGCATGTTTTCAGTTTTTTGTTGTTTGAATATTTCTTGATTTACAGCGAGAAGATTTATTTTTGTCCGACCTTAAAGACTGTCCACCACTGATATAATTGTATAATATTTTAGTATTTTGTGGAAAATTGTCTCAAGAAATTATGATCAATGCTACAATAACGTTCTAATATCAAACCAGACCAGGAATCTCTAAGTTTGGCATTCCTAAAGCACTTCACAGGACTCTGTATTTTATTGGCGAACATTTTAACAACAGTAGTATTTATGTTACTGTGATGGACTGCCGAGTTTAAATACAATGGGAGTATTGAGACTGCAGCTACTATTCCCACCATTCGAACAAGTAACTCAAGTTACTTGTTGCTCATGGAACCCTGACTAGTGACACAAGTGCAATCAGGTTCATCTGGACAATTGCAGTACTGGCTGAGTTACCACACTAAAATAACCTTTTTAACAATAATAATCCTTTTGTTTGATATAGTGCCTTATCACTAATATTGAGACGTCTCAAAGCACTCCACAGAACATATTGTAAAGTGAGTTGATCATGTATTTTGTTAAAGGTTATTAAAGAGTTATTTTAACACAATAACTCAGCCAGTCCTGCTTCATTCAGATCAACACAATCAACGATAAGTGAGTCTGTCTTGAACCCTCTTCCGCTTCCTCTCCCCAACCACCATTACTGCTTCCTCAGCAACGTCTCTATTGTGCAAGTCACCCTACACTTCCACAAATATACTGTAGTTATTTTGCTACCTCTGATTTAGTGTCTGAGAATAAAAGTACATTAAATATAAAATATAAGTACATACATGCCACACTCACTTTTCATACCTAGTACCATAAACTGAAACAGCCATCGACTATCACAAAAGCCTACAGGATTAGCATCTACAACCGCACCATGCATTGATGGTTCATACAGATCTCTGGTGTAAAATTTGTATTAAGCTATATACAATAGTTGAAGTATTACCAGGTCTCTATGGATGAACATGTTTGTTTCCAAGTACGCCATACCATCACACACATCCTGGCACATGCTCAGTAACATTTCCTTTTGAATCTGGCCTCTTCTTTGCCGTAGATAGTTGAGTAAACAGCCAAGTTCCATAAACTCGGTCACTATATATATTGGTTTCCCCTGTGTGCAGACTCCATACAGTTGTACTAATTTAGGATGAGATAACTTCCTAGAGACAAAACAATAATTTTATTGGACACTGAAGTCTTCATAAAGGATGACCAATTGTGTAGTACATGTTTATGAAGTCCTTACATGGGGCTTGAACCCACAGCCTCCTGACTCAGACGGTAGAGTGCTTGCAACTGAACCAGGCTAGCACATGGAAAAGTGTCTGAATAAAACATTAAAACGTTTACTATGACAAACCTGGTACAACACGTCAAGAATGACATGTTTTGTTTGGAGTTGCAGAATACACCAGCAGTATCAGACATACCTAAAATCAAAATATTACTTACATCATGATTTTAGCTTCTTCAATGAAATCCTCTTCATACATTGCACCTTCACGAATGGCCTTAATAGCTACTTTGTGCTGTGCCCGCCACTTTCCCAATCTTACAACTCCAAACTGTCCACTGCCCAGCTCTTTCATAAAGGTTAACTCGGATGGATTTATTTCCCACTTATCTGTGTAAACAATAATCAACATCTTTGAAAATCATTTGAATACAAGGTTACAACTGAATGTATATGACTAAAAGTCCAAAAGTCATCCTAAACTGGTAAAAAAAAAACTTGTATTTTATATGGCGCTTGTCATGTCGGAAGGTCATCTCAAAGTGCTTCATAGGATATATTGTAAAGTGAAGTGACTGTATTTTTTTAGGTGAACACTGGTGAGGCCAGTTATAATATTGCATGTAGAGTTATGAACCCTACCTGCAAGGCAACATTGAAGCATTGGTGAAGATGCAGGGAAATGTTAGCTATAGCAGAAATGAGATCAGGTTTCAAAACTACTGTTGTGGAGAAAGGAAGGATAATTATGGAGATATTGCCCGAGTGCATTTTGGGGTGTTGGGTGGTGGAGGGGTGTTGTAAGAAGCTTTTCAAAGGAGGCAGTGGGATGGAATGATAGGAGAGATTTGGTAGAAAATGGGCTTAATGGGACAAATATAATTTACAACACAGAAATAATCCACTTAATAATGTATGCATGAGAATGATTTTAGCTTTAGCAGATATGGTTGCTTTGGTAACAAATTTCACATTAGTGTGATTTGTCTCTTCAGCCTTTTTCATAGGAACTAGGTACTAAACAATACTAATCCATGCACTGTAAAAGAAACGTAATTAAAAAATACAGTAGAGAAAAGGGGCATTAAAGGGGGAAGCTTGAGTGGTTGAACGGTTTTGCCTTTCTGCAGGGTCATTGCCACAGTGTATTAATCTTAGTTTAGACGGAAGTAATGCAAACTGTATAATTTTAGGCGGTTAGTTTGTTCCAGTCATCAGCTCTCCAGCCAGCTTGAAGTTGCATCTCCATTTCTTATAGTACTGCTCTGGGATACATTGGCACTCTTTGTGTCAGTAATATTATCAGTGTTTTGGCTTTCTATCTACACACACACATACACACAAACCAAAAATGACATGTTCACTAAAACCACAGAATGAACAAATCCTCAGCGAATTACACTACTTTCCACTTTATAAACAGGAAGTTTCAACTAGGTGCAATTTTAAGTAATAAAATGTTGCCCAATGTTTTCACACAGTAAGACATGCAAAAATATCAACACGTATTGGCCCGCCTAAAAATGACTTGGTACATTACCATAGCTAAAACCAGCAGTTGTAGGGGCAGCTCGTCCTTTACGGCCTACTGGATATCGCAACCTTGTGATAAGACCTAAGACGAGATGGTTCATGTTAATTATAGCATTATGTTAACAGAGTTGCTTCTACTTTTATTGATTTAAAATCTGAAACACTTTGACCCATTAATCACTTCTGTTTCACACTGCATTAATTCTTGGTATCATCAACAAATAACTTACTTGGAAATCAAGTCACAAAACATGAAAATTGGGCAAACGATAATAGCTGGATGCTTAAGTACAATTTTTAAAAAGGAAATCAGTGTAATAAAAAAGTGGTGAGAATTATTCTAAAAGTTTGCATGAAGTGCAAATAAATAATACTGTAACAAATAACACTGGATTCATAGTTTGGCAAATACCTGCTGCATTGTGCTGGTGATACTCAATTAACTCTGGAATATTATTGAACAAGTGTTTTTCAGCCAGATAGTAAAGACAAGGTGAAGTCTGGCTCAGTTTTATATGATAATGCCGTGTTGATCCACCCTCTCTAAAAAAAAACAAGTCATTTTTTAAAGACTACTTCTCACTCTTGATCATAATATAATAATAATAATAATCCTTGCATTTGATATAGCTCCTTATCATGTTGTTGAGGCAACTCAAAGCATTTCACAGAATATATTGTAAAGTGGATTGACTATTTTGTGGACAGACATATATAATATCATATTCTATACTGCAGTGAAATGGAACATTATATTATTACAGGAAATGTGAGATTTTACATGTTAAACATTAGCAGACCCTTTTGCTGTAGAGCCAATATTAAAGATTCAGTTGCACAAATTCAAAGCAAGGCTAACCTTTATGTTATGTTCAATATTCTACCAGAAATATTCTCCCCATTGGGGTTCAATTTCACTGCCTACATAGTCTAAATTATTCAAACAAATAAGTTACTTTGTACTTATTGGTATTTTTTAGCAATTCTAAATGATTGAAATAGAGTTCAAACTGCACAAGTTTAGATGATGATATATTTGCCAATGCATTTTCTAGATAAATTTACAGTATTATATATTCCTAGATTGGCAAAGTAGTTTTTTTGTGTCATGAATACGCCACAATAAAAAATACTGTGCTGCCATCTATTGGTAACAATTGATGAAGCAGATGTCTGTTAATGAGGAAACTAAGCTGCTACTTGTAAGCAGCTACAGCTAAGCAGCTACTGCTCCAGCTCTACCATTGGTGGAATCACTGCTCAATCAGTAGGGATGTGTGTCCAAGCTGTGGGTAGGATTGTGGCAAAGCTCTCACGTGTTTCATGCTGAGCTGTGCTGCTCATCAGGAAATCACAGAGTTCCTATGTAATGTAATTCTATGCAATGGAAGTTTCCCAGCGTCTGAAATGGAATACACACTCTCTCCCTGGAGGGACATGCCCTCCTCTGTGCAGGGTATTTCTAGAAAGTATTAGGGCTGAATTTGGCAATGGCCAAGGCTTGGGAACCCCAGAGTGTGTTAACTGAGGACAATGTGAATTGGGGGTATTGCTGGAGTTTAACCGACTAAAACTACATAACTTGCCACTGAAACCGTCTGTCAATCTATCCAACTGCAGCTACCTGGCCCAATAGAGCTTCGGCTTGCAGGGTTAAATGGATTTAAATGGGAAGACGATTCCCTACTCCCGGTGACTGGTCTGTCCCTCCAAGTCCTGCCAACCGGCCCGAATGGATGTATTTTTCCTTTTTTTATATTTTAAAATACACAGTTAGTGCTTATCTAGAGGCAAAAAAGAAAATTTAAAAAATCAAAACTTACCCTTGACTTTTGCTGTACAGAGATACTGTATAGGTCTCAGCTTGGCTGGAGTCTCTGACAATAAAACCTCCCTCTTTATCCTACAAGACAAATTATACATGCATTGGAATTTCAAAGCAACCTTCCGCTATTTAGAAAAAGGCAAGATGCCAAAAAAAAGGAAAAGATGACAAAATAAAAATTCCTCAGCCAAGGTGTAAGACACTGTTTTCACCTGATGTTTCCATTCCATCAGTCACTCACTGCCAGTCATGACTGGAGCAAAGGTGGGTAGAACCACACAATATCTGTTTTTGGGCTTGATCTGATCTTTGGTCAATATCCGATGTGCCAAGCATTGTGCTCTAGGCGCAAGGAGAAACCCTACTGTATCATGATGGGTCTTCATTCATGTCTCGGGTAACTTGACAGAGGGGCTGAGAAGAAAATCTGGCATTATACCCCAAAGCTCCCTCACAATCCATTGGAGACTTATTCAGTTTGTGTATCCTCCAATTCTAACTCTAATTTGGAAAATTCACATCTTGGAAAATATAATAGTTGACCCGTCTTGTGGTGGATCCAGTCATGACTATCGAGAAAGGCATGAAGGAGTTCCACCAATGGGCAACAGATTTCCATAGGTTAATGGTTGCTGCAGGAACTCTGGTTTAACTAGTATGAGTTATTTATTCGGTGTTTAAAATTCTATATACGAGACAGAATTGCAGACTGCTTCACCATCTACGCAGCATACAACAGTATATTAAACATTGTAAAAATGAAATGGCAGCTTGAAATGTAGTTCTGCGTAAATTGAAATGATTCTACCACGTTTCTACGTAGCTGACTAATTACCTGCACGACATATGTAAAACACCCACACATGCCACCACTCACTCGCAAATAACTGAATGGAAAATAACCATTCTGTTCAATGCACAACTGAAAAATGTTGGTTCACATTTAAGAACAACTGTCCTTCTAAAAGTAAAGTATAGTGCAAAAAAGAAATATTGGAAAATACAGTTTTACATTGACAATTAAGACAGTTAAAAACAGTTTAAAGATCTTTGATTTTGACATTTGCAAGGACTTGCTCACATGTACATAAATAATTACCATTATAGAATGTGTACTGATTTTGGTTAAGAAAAATGTGCAATTAAAGTAAATTTCATCACCCATCACCCCCACCCTCGCCCGGCTCCACTGGCGCCCCATCCCTCAGATAGAGTTCAAAACCCTCGTCCTCACATTCAAAGCCCTCCGTGATCTTGCCCCCTCCCTACCTCTATGACCTACTAGCCCCTTAACAACTTGTCCGCTCCCTCTGCTCAGCAGTGTCTAGCCTGCTCCCCGACCACCGCCAGACCCAGCCCACCATTGGTGATCAGACCAACAGCCTCTCTGCCGCAACCCTTTGGAACTCCATCCCACAATCCCTTCACCTTGCTCCCTCCCTTTCCCCCTTCAAGGCACATCTCAGGATCCTCCTCTTCGACCGTGCCTTTGGCCACCCTCCTACCCCTACCAACCCAGCACTCCACCCCTCCTGACCCTACCACCCTGCTCGGGTCCAAATCCCTGACTATCCAGCCCCTAGAGAAGTCGCCCCGACGTGAAAGGCGATATATAAATAGTATGTTGTTGTTGTTTGTTATTTTGATGCATCTTTACTAGAGCAGCCGCTCTGCCCGTCTCGGTTGCCGGGGGAGCCGCTCTGCCCGTCTCGGTTGTAAGGGGAGCCCCATCCCTCAGAGGATAGAATTCAAAATCCTCATCTTCAAAGCCCTCCATGGTCTCGCTATCTCTGTGACCTGCTAGCCCCGCAAAACTTGTCCACTCCCTCTGCTCAGCAGGGCCTGGCCTGTTCCATGTCTAGGGGAGCCACTCCGCCTGCCAAGGTCACTTGGCTGCAACAACCAGTTAAAGCACGTTGAGAAATTCATTCCCAGATTGGCTGTGCTGCCTGTGACTGTTTAGTTAGCCTGACATGTAGTATTAGAGATGGACCTGTGGAACATCAAGGAAGCTGACAATCAGGAAATTTTGAGGGTTGGACAACAGCTGCTGGAAGGCATGACTTGGAAACTGGACTCATGAACACAAGCTCATATACCCACAGCTTGTTATTCACCTTGATTGGTGAGCAGAGAGGTAAGCAGTTCCTGCTCAAGTTTCACACTTTTAACTGGTGAAACCATTACTCAGTGAGTAGGAATGTGTTTTCAAGCTGACGGCGGGAGCAAGGTATCAATGCTCTCATGCATTTTATGCTGAGCTGTGCTGCTCACTAGCGTATGGGCAGCAGTTTCTGCGGAAAACCCTCAATCTGATATTGTACTTTTAAAGGAAGTACAACATTTCCTTTCTCCCTGTAGCCACACTTGTTATACTGTCAGTAACTTTCGTCTTCCCACCTGCTACTAAGCAATAATAACACTTGCCTAGCATCTTCCGTTGAAACATCTCAAAGCATTTTGCACGTTATATTACGTTGAAATGTAGATTGTAGTTAAGTGAGCAAGCAGCGGTGTGATAAATAACTGATTTATTTGACAGATTTGAATGAGGCGATTATTGACCAGGATAAGAGGAGAACTCCCTGATCTTCTTTGAAATATGCTATGGGTTATTACCGCCCGCTAGTGTCATTAAAACAGAAAAACATATTATCCCAGTAGTTTCATTAATCTGAAAACGAAAGCGTGTAGCTGTATTCCATTGTCGATTTTGGAAGACGGAGTTTCCATGAAATGTTTAAATTACATTTTATGGATATGATCCAATATTACTCCAGGACAACCCCACTGGAAGATTCCCCCCACAACCCCACCGTTATAATACAGTCTTGTCCTATTAGATCGCTCTAATCAGGAGCATGGTATATCCCCCACCCCCACCCTTTGGAACTCCATCCCACATTTGCCTCCCTCCCTTCTTCAAGGCACATCTCAAGACCCTCCTCTTCATCCGTGCTTTCGGCCACCCTCCCTTACCCAATCCCGCCTCCCCCCCAACGACTGTCCTGCGCCTTATGACGCCCTGTATTGTACGTCTGCTTTTCGGTTTCGACTAGCAGGTTTCCAGTGCAAAAAAAATATTGTTTTCTGAACTGTCAGGACTCCGCTGATGTCACGTCTTTTGCACTGTGCGCTTAAGCGCAGGAAGCATAGTTCATGTTACTGTGCAAAGAAAGTGCCACCAGCAGTGCTTCTTGCACACAAAATTGCATGCACAACACACAGGAGTGACATTAGTAGCAACATGACAATGTAGATATTGGTTAATTTTTAGTGCTACAATTGTAATGTGCATCCGAGGTTTGGGTATAGAGGCTGTGTTGAGAAAGAACAAGGCTGCCCTTATTACTCCTGTGAGAATTCATTTCAAGACAATGTTCACAGTATACATATACATATTCTCAGTCTGACAAACTACCAGTCACTCTGCCTGCCGCCAAAACCACAGGTTTTAAAAAAACTAAACCATTAGTTTAAATTCTCTTTTCACAATTATTATACAGTATATGTAAACAGAATGCAGAGCAAACATATTGGTTGTGTACTGTATCTTGTTAAAATGGCTGACCTGATTTTTTTGAGATACCAGGTCAACCCATTAATGGGATTACATATGCACGTCTTCAGATACTGAAACAGGAAATGTCAAATATAGTATAGTGGTTTATGTTTGATGGTTTATTCCTTCATTAAACCACCAGGCAAGATGTCAAGACAAGACTGGCTTCATTTCTTTGAAACCACCTACCTTCAGTGAAAGGTCCTTTTTATTTAAATGTCTTATTTTTTTATAAGCGCGACCTAAAGAATGCTTCCATAGTTGTGAACCACTTTTCATGACATCACATCACGACATTATAATAATAATAATAATCCTTGCATTTGATATAGCGCTTTTCACGTCGGGAGGACATCCCAAAGCGCTTCACAGAACACACTGTAAAGTGAATTGACTGTATATTTGTGGGCGAACGCGGCAGCCAATTGCGCACAGCAATGTCCCACAAACAGTCATGGATTGAAAATGACCAATTTATTATTGTTTTTTTTTTGGAGGGATTATTATTAGGCTCTGTGTGGAGTAAGGAAACTTGCCCAAGGTTTCGCTCTGCCTGGAATTGAACTCAGGTCTCTCACTTGCAAAGCGAGTGCTCTAACCACTGAGCTACAGGACTCCAATTATGTAACATTATGTGTCAGCCATGTGTGAGTAGCACTCTCATCTCTGAGTCAGAAGGCTGTAGTTATCTCACAAACATGAGGTGAATGATCAGTTAACCTGGAAGATTGTTAGCCAAAACACCAGGAGAAACTCACCTCCTTCTTCGAACTTTCACCTGAACATCCTTCCAACATTAAAAACTGTGACTTCCAACTAACAAAAGACACATATACATGTTTAAAAAATACCTTACCTCAGATTTCAACAATTGTTCCGCTGTATTCCGGTTAACATTTCTACAATACCATCTATATAAAAACATAGGAAAATTATTTAGAAATTAGGCAGGAGTTCAGAATATCTGATGTTTTAATCATTGTTATCTAACAACAAAATGTGACAGAACGAAAGACAACCATATTAAATTGCGATAATCTTGACATTATTTTAGATAATGTGAGCCATCAGCATCAATCCTGTGAATAGAATGGGATTTTTATGTGGGTTTTAAACTCATATTTTCTCCCCTCAACTCCTGAAGATATTCAACTCATCTTTTCCTTTTACTAGTACACAGTTCTACTGGTGCCAGAACTTAAGTATGAACATTGATAGCAAAATTTTAGGAAGCTATTCAACATGCTGACATCATTGTCAGGTCTAATCCTGAACTCACCCAAAATCTGCATCCCTGAATCTTGCAGCAGGAGATTACCACTTAGTGATTAGAAGCAGGAAATGTGGCTGATTTTCTCCTTTCTAACTTGTGGGCCCTGAAGCCAACTCTTGTGCCCCAATTGCTGCCCTAGTAAGATCTCCTAGGTCAGTTAATTTCAGACAGAGTGACTGACCATTTCCCCCCTGCTCGGGTCATGACCCAACTGTGCAGCGCCTTGGGACGTCCTCCTGACGTGAAAGGCGCTTTATAAATGGAATCTTGTTGTTGTTGTTGTTGTTGTTGTTGCAATGTCCTGATCTACGCTACCACAATAATGTGGTAAGTTACTACATTAAATGCAAGAGTCATTATTTAGTGTCACACAATGAGTCGTTCTTATTCAACTAGGCCAGCGGACAGCTAGCGTTCTACAATCTTAAACACTGAGCACGTTCAGTTAGTACCTGGTGCCTGGATGTGCAGAGGCATAAGATTTTTTTAATAATAATAGTAATAATATGATAAATATATGTTATATTTAAGACTCAGATTAGAACTAAAAGCATCTTGCACATTGACTTCTTTGTTTCAAGCCTCAAGCAGAGAATGACTAAAATAGCCTCTTAGCTGGGCTGCGCATTTTGTTGTGGTAAAAGCAGTCATGACCAGATAGTATAAGTAAGAACAAAGTGTTTTGAAACAGGAAACACGACAGCGAAGGCAGTGAGCTACCAGTTGCCAACTGTTGATTGGAAGAATGACAAAAGTCACTTCTGCCATGGTTTGGGGAGACTTTTTATATAAAGGTTTAAGAGGCTTGTGGAACACTCTGCCAGCCTTAGATGGACTAAAGAAGTGTAAAGGGTATCAACAAAGAACTAGACAAGTCTCCGCATTCTGTTTGAGGGAGAGGGGAATAGAGATGTATAGGAGAGGGGAATAGGAGGGGTGGAGGCTTGTGTGAAGTATAAATACTGGCACAGACTAGTTGGGCCAAATGGCCTGTTCCTGTGCTGTAACATTCTATGTAGTTCTTGGTTCCTCAACAAAACCCTTTATGTTATTAGGTAAGGGAGTTTCTCACTGCCTGGCCTCAATTGCTCACTCAATCATTGCTCTGCGTAAACTGGCTGCCACATTTAAAATAAACACAGCCACATCACTTTATAGTATATCCAGTGAAGTGCTTTGAGATGTCGACAACATGATAAAGTACTGCATCAAAAGTAAGGAAATTCATAGTTTTAATAATATTATTACGTGATGAGAAAGTTGCTTCCAAATATTTTTTGGACAAATAGGAAAGATAGGCTCGATTGATCAAGAGTCTACTCTTGCCTGGAACCGACACTATCTTACAAGAACTTGTAAGGTATGATCTCCATCATATTTGATGCTGCCGCTTTTCGCCCACAAAATACACAAGCAATTCACATTTTAGACTCCTGTAGCATATTGGTTAGAGCACTCGCCTCACAAGTGAGAGGACCCGGGCTCGATTCCCAGGCAGGGTGAAACATTGGCTAAGTTTCCTAACTCCACTTGCCTCTGATTACCTAGCAGTAAGTAGAAGCCCGGTTGTTAGTTAATTTTCGGGGGTAATAATCTGTTCATTAAAAAAAAATCTGGTCACTCAATCCATGTTTGTGAGACACTGATGTGCACAATTGGCTGCTGCGTTTCTTCCACATAATATAGATTCAATATATTCTGTGAAGCGCTTAGAGACGTCTAAAAGATATTAGATGCTATACCAAATGCAAGGATTATTATTCATTTTAAAAACAAACTGGAAGACACATATTGGTTTGGAGAATGGGTAGGTGAAATGTGATATAGCACATGAAATTTAATATAGGGAAATGTGAAGTGATTCACTGTGGTCAGAAAAACGTAGAAGCTGATTATATTCTGAGTGGTAGGGATCTAAGAGGGGTGGAGGAACAAAGTGATCCAAGGATTCAGATTCACAGGAATCTAAAAGTAGCAGCATAGGTGGACAAGGTCATAAAAAATGGCTTGGCTTTATGACCAGCGGAATAAATTATAATAGTAGGGAAGTAATGTAAAATTTAACATTCAGAAGTGTCGAGGGCTCTTCTTTATCCAAACTTCTCTTCTTGATCTTGTGTAGATTGAAAATTAGATCCCTAAATTGAGGTGGTTTCTCAGCAGAGAAAAGGCTTTCTTAATTTTTTTAAAAAACTATATAACATCAAGCAATTCTGCAATCTTGTTTTGGAGATCCACCAAGAACCAAGCTCAGTTTCAAGTAGATCCCACTTTCCCTACCCATAGAAGATAGGAGTCCATTTTGGACACCCAACAGACAAAAACAAAATCCAAACATATATTAAGTGTGTCACTTTAAAAACACTGATCTCAGTTTCCTGGTTCTCAAAAGTTAAACTCCTGTATTTGAAAGGCGGAAGTGAGAACAGACAGTGTTCCCAGAAACTCTAATGTTACTGCAGTCTGTTACTTTAACATGCAAAGTTAAGATCACTGAATTTAAATGAGCAGTAAAATGCAATTTTCTCGCAATGTCACAAGACTACAATATTGGTTTGGATGAAGAAGGCCCTTCTGATCTCATCCCTCCAGTATATCAAACCTACCATCACAGCGTCCAGCTCCCTTGTCGTGATCCAGCTGTCACCTTCTCAAAACAGTCTATGAGATTGGTCAGACAAGACCTACCTTTTCTGAACCTATGTTGGATGTCAATTATTGGATTATTTTTATACAGGCATTTTTTAAAATGGCCATCGATTAAACATGGTGATGGGATTGTATTTGTATGGGATATCTGGGTGACCAAAAGAAAATTCCATGAGCACTGAGCACTGTCCAATACCTTGCTCAAGTGGCCAATATTTATGTCATCTTCAGTGAGTCTTGGCAGGCTTTCGTAATTAAATAATAATGCTTGCATTTGATATAGCAACCTTCATGTCCGGAGGATGTCTCTAATAATTTCACAGAATGTACTGGTAAATAACCGGGTATTTTCAGGCGAATGCTGTAGCTGATTTACACACAGCAATATCCCACTAACAGCCATGAAGTAAAATGAAAATTGTTGGATAGGATACTGAGAGAAACTTCCTTCTCTTTTCAGAAAAATGCTATGGGGTCTTTAACGTCCAGCTGAACAGGCAGCCGCAATTTTGGTTTAATGTTTCATTCATAGGATCTTGTTGTTGTTGTTGCTGCTCTCCTCCAGCACTAGTTTAGAGTGGTAGCCTAAATTGAATTTAAGGTCCATCGGGGGATCTTTAACGCATAGCCAAGGTGACAGTTGATCTATATTTTACCCTTGCTGGAACTGACCTGATGCTGGATGCACACATTCCTGGAATGCATCTCTGATCTTTAGCCATAATTATGCATCTCTGCTGCATTCCAGGTGCAACGGTTCTCACACCTAATTGTATACCCGCGGTTATGACTAACCGCATGGTGCACTAGGTGGCCTCTGCCATCATTCCTGTACCTTGCAAGTTCCCTCTCTGAGTGAAACTCCACTAATGAGAATATACACACGACGACAAGTAATCCCAATACTTTATTGCACAACAAATGGATGCATTCATCAGTGTCCTTCGCACTACCAGATAGCAATAACCTGTTTGTGTTTTCTTCCTCCTTCCTTGATCTTTAGAGATTCGAGAAGCACTTTATAGAAAACTCAATGGTGGTGTTTTATTGGTCCTTAACCCTATGTCTAATTTACACTGTCCAGAACATGATAACTATTGCAACATTAAGAAATAGAAAATACAGTGACACTAAATTATGACACTAGCAGCTTTACCCAAAGTGAGTTAACAAAGAAAAAACAATCTTGAGCTGGAGACGAGGCTCTCAAGACAGTCATGTACCTCCTCGAGGTGAAAAGCAACCCCGAGTTCAGCGAACCCACTCCTTTTATACTGTCCTAAGTCCTCCCCTTTCAATGTATCAGTAAGTTTCCCCCTCCAGAACCTACATTAGCTTTTCCCACCTTTTTGTTTCAGTGACTCACCCAGAGTCATGGTGCCAAGGCTGACCATTAAATCATATTTTGGTCCCAAGACCAAAAATGCACTTAAAGCGAAAACATCCCACTTTGCACAAAATCTCAATATATACAGAATATCTACATTAATACCCTTAATAAGACGTAGAGCGTTAATAATAATAAGGTGACTGTGACATAAGGAAGTGCCCATCCAGCATCCTCAGGTCAGTTGCAGTGCCATCCTCGCTCGACATGCACTTTCCAGCACAGGTTACTATAATAATAATAATAATCCTTGCATTTGATATAGTGCTTTTCATGTCTTCTAAACGATTCAAAGTGCTTCATAGATTATACTGTAAAGTGAATTGACTGTATATTTGTGGGCGAACCACAGCAGCCAATTGCACACAGCAGTGTCCACCAAACAGTCATCGATTCAGTGACCAAATTATTTTTTCTTTCTTGAGGGATTATTATCAGGCGTGTGGAGTAAGGAAACTGGTTCAAGGTTTCACCCTGCTGGGAATCGAACCCAGGTCTCTCGCTTGCGAGGCAAGTGCTCTAACCACTGAGCTACAGGAGTCCACATTTAATGTCACAAGTGAAACTAGACAGCGATCAGGAGCAGAAATACTGTCCAATTTTCATTGCCTAAACAGAGGGTGACGAGAACAATTGTATTAATCCAACTATTTCTCTGGCTGAGATCAGCTAATTTAGGAAAGGCCAGGACTTACAGGATGGCACCTTTACCCATGAGGCCATCCTATGGCCGAGAATTGTTATTATCTACAATTTCTTCAGCACATTGCACAACCTGTAACCGTACTGAACTGCACAGCCCACAAAACCAGGAATTTCAATAGATCTGCTGGCTGTAAAAAAAACTTGTTACATAGTAACAAAGTGCTGAAATTGCATTAAAGAATTACACTTATGATTTATTTTAAGATTTCTTGACTTACTCATATTTTTCTAGATTATTGGATTTCTTCTCAGTTACGTAGTTGCTTGGTATATATCCTTCGCACCTGGAAGAAAACACACTTGAATCAATATATATATTGTACCTTGTACTTTTATCATAATTATGGAAATTAAACCAGTTATTCTACCTGTGTGCAATTCTTTAAATATCTAATAAAACACTCCATATCACTTATAAATCACCTAATATGTACCTTCAAAAAATAATTTCCTCACATTTTGGTTAGATATTTTCTCTTTTTAAGCACACCTCCACTAAAAAAAGTTGCCTTTCCACCACAACTAAACAAATTTGTGGTATCGAGTGTCACAAAAATGCAACCATCTTATTCTCATGACTGTACAGATCGAGGTTAACCCCGAAGTGAAAATACAGAAGAAACCTAATTCAAGATCTATTTTAGTCTAACTTTTATTTGGTTTAAGAAAATAAAAAGCTGAAAACATGAATTAATGGTCACAATTTAATTCAGTAAAGGAACCAACCTACATCTGAAGCATTCTAAGTTCTTGGTTGTCAATTTGAACACCCATTTTCTAGAACCAGTTGGTTTCACTTTCCTTTATTTTTGCCTCTCCCCTGTTGAAAGGGGGATATCTGGACAATCCCTCAGCACTGGTGAGTCCAAGTGGTTATTGTTTGGTGAACAAACCTAGATAAGTGAGCATCGATGAACTATTCAACTATAGTTGAACCATCATAGTCAAGTTCAATCTTGTCCATATTTGCACAGTTCCATCAAGGATAACTGCAAAGAAACAAACACTGCAACCCTGGCCATTTTCTCCCTTTCTAGTCTGAAGGCACTGTCGCCAATTCTAGGACCTCACCATCTCAGTAGAATTCAGCTAACTTAGTACACATTGAATTTGGGATCTTCCTGATCAGTGTGGATCATACAATATGCAGTGTATTAACAGCTTGGTTCAAAAGTGATGACCATTGAATTTAATACCCAATAAATGTATACATACATATATATTATAATAATATAATAATCCTTGCATTTGATATAGCGCTTTTCACGTCTTCTAGACGTCTCAAAGCGCTTCACAGAATATACTGTAAAGTGAATTGACTGTATAATTGTGGGCGAAACGCGGCAGCCAATTGCGCACAGCAGTGTCCCACAAACAGTCGTGGATTGAAGTGACCAATTTATTATTTTTTTCTTGAGGGATTATTATCAGGCATGTGGAATAAGGAAATTTGCCCAAGGTTTCGCCCTGTTGGGAATCAAATCCAGGTCTCTCGCTTTCGAGGCAAGTGCTCTAAACACTGAGCTACAGGACTCCACAAATATTCTAAGGAATTCTAAAACAGGCACAAAAAAGAGATCTTTTCTCTATCCCAAAAGTCGATTCATGCACCTCTGATAATTCAGCACTCACTAGACATTTCAGTGGACTGTCAGTCTACAACAACAACAAGATTCCATTTATAGAGCGCCTTTCACGTCGGGAGGACATCCCAAGGCGCTGTACAGTTGGGTCAGGACCCGAGCAGGGGGGAAATGGTCAGGGTGAGGGGAGGGAAGGGTGGGAGTGAGGAGGAGGTAGAGAGTCGAGAGGGGAGCTGAAGGCTCGGTCAAAGAGAAAGGTCTTGAGACCGGCCTTGAAGGAGGAGAGGGAGGAGGCGGCGAAGGCACTGGGGGATAGAGTTCCAGAGCCTCAAGGCTGAGAGGCTGAAGGCCCGACCACCGATGGTAGGGCGGTTGGGGCGGGGGATGTGGAGCGACCGGAGCCAGAGGAACGGAGGGTACGGGCAGGTAGGTAGGGGGATAGTAGGTCAGAGAGGTAGGAGGGAGCGAGGCCGTGAATGGCCTTGTAGGTGAGGATGAGGATCTTGAATTCGATCCTCTGGGGGATGGGGAGCCAGTGGAGGCGAGCGAGGGTGGGAGTGATGTGGTCGCGGTGTCTGGTGCGGGACAGTACACGAGCTGCAGAGTTCTGAATGACCTGCAGCTTGTGGAGGGAGGTGCCGGGAAGGCCGGCGAGGAGAGAGTTCCCATAGTCCAGCCTTGAGGTGATAAAGGCGTGGACCAGTGTTTCAGCCGCGTGAGGGGTGAGGTAGTGCCGTAGTCTGGCGATATTCTGGAGGTGATGGAAGGCGGTGCCAGTTGTGGCGCGGATATGAGGGAGAAAGGACAGCTCAGGGTCTAGACTATTAATCTTAAAATCCAATATTGTATGTAATTATATAAATTTAATGTAACATTAATTGGGAAAAAAAAGTAGATAACAAGTAACGTCTGACTTAAAATCCATTTAAAATTTAGGGGAAAATGTTTGTTACATAAAAACCTTGTTGCCCACAAAATATACAGTTAATTCACTTTACAGTATATTCTGTGAAGCGCTTTGAGAAGTCTCGAAGACGTGATAAGGCGCTATATCAAATCCAAAGATTATTATTATTATAAACACTAACACAAAAAGTGTCATAGGAGTGGGTATGTCTCTTAATTGCTGAGAAGAGTTGATGAGTTCCCCTTTAAGACCGAGTACATTGGTCATGTAAAGAATTGGTTTGGGGTAATCACTGTAGCATTAATCATATTTACAGTTAACATCCTCCCAACCTTCTAAGTTATCAGCTGACAGTTTAAGTTTATACAATTAATAATTGAAAGGGCAAACTATAACTGCCTAGCACCTTGCAACGTCCTTCCGACATGAAAGGTGTTATATAAATGTAATTTGTTGTTGTTGTACATATTGTTAGCGTACAAACCATTTACCACAGACACAGGAAGCCCATCTTCTAAAAGCTCTCAATTATGCAAGTTGCAGGCACCCAACATTGTCCCCAACAAGGTTTGGGGGTTGAAAAATCATTGTAGTTTATTGAATATTGGCACAATTCTTAGTGAATATTGACACTAGTGAGTTACTCATTTATTCTTTGAATATAAAATGTGTGCCCCGTTGGCATATGAAGGGGTTCTGTTTTTAAGGTCTGGTCCTGTAAACAACGTCTTTTATGAAACCACACTGATCTTTGACCTCAAAGCCTACTTTACAAAATTAGACGGACATCACGGGAAATCAAAAATAAAATAAATATTTTTTGGCAGATGCTTTGAATATAATCTAGGCATACAGGTAGTTAAATCCTTAATTGCCAATTTTAGAAACGTTCATTAACATGCAACAATATTCACAAACACAGATTATATGGAACACAAATCACATCAAAACATATCAAACTAAGTCTATGAAGACTCTAAATGTGGTTTAAAAAAATCCTTAATTCATTCTAAATGAACCAAAGCAACTGTCAGAATTTACTTTTTCTCATCTGAGTCCTTCTGGTAGGAACAACAACAAATTGGATAGTGCCCTCCACGTAGGGTATCATCTCAGAGTACTTAACAGTGTGGGTGGGGGAGTGACCGTAAGCATTGTTGAAAAGGAAGGTTTTCAGGGGGACTTGAAACAGTGGAGAGAGGGGGCAAGACGGAGGGATTGAGGGAGGGTGTAGTGGCTGAATGCATGACCTTCAATGGTAGCGCGGAGGGCACGAGGGATAAGTAGGAAGTCGGTGCCAGTCGATCGAAGGCGCCACGTGGTTGATTGGGGAGTGAGGAGGTCAGAGAGGGAGGGAGGTGCCAGGGAGTGAAGTGATTTGAACACAAGAGTGAGGATCTTGAAGTCGATCTGTTCGGTGATGGGGAGCCAGTGGAGCCTGGCCAGAACTGGTGAGATGTGGGTACGGAGTTTGGTCCAGGTCAGTAATGCGGGCGGCAGAGTTCTGAATGAGCTGGATCTTTTGAATAGTGGAGCTGGGGAGACCGGCGAGGAGTGCGTTTGAATGATCCAGGCGGGAGGTGCCAAACGCATGCAATATGGTTTCGGCTGCATTTAGGGTAAGGTACAGTCGGAGGCAGGCAATGTGGCAGAGGCGAAGGAAGGTGGTCCTTGTCAGCGACCGGATGAGGAAGAGGAAGGACAGCTGTGGGTCGAACCGGACGCCAAGATTGCGTAATGGTTCAGTGAGTCTGAGGGAGAGTCTGGAGAGGTTTAGGAGGTTGGATCCACAGGAGTGAAGACGTTGACAGGAGCCAAGGAGTATGGCTTCCGTCTTCTCCACATTCAGCTGTAGAAAGTTTGCACTCATGAAAGGTGTGACGTTAGCTCTATAATTTGATAATGGGAATAAACCATTGGAAGGTTAGGTGGAGAATGTGTCTGATTTGATATTTTACTTTACAGTATCAGAACTTCAAAATAAAATAACTCAAGTCATTCGGCAAAAACGCTGAGTATGTGAGAAAGTCATTTCCTTTCAGTTGTTAATGAATAAATCACATAAGTCATGAATAATTTAATATTAATATATAATCCTTGCAATTGATATGGTGCCTTATCACGTCTTCAAGACATCTCAAAACGCTTCACAGAATATACTGCAAAGTCAATTGACCGTATATTTTGTGGGCGAAATGCAGCAGCCAATTGCACACAGCAATGTCCCACAAACAGTCATAGATTGAGTGACCAAATTTTTTAAAAAGGGATTATTATCCCCAGAAAAGTGATCCACCAATCGACTGACAACTGGTTTCCTAATTACTGCTGGGTAAACAGGGTGTGTGGAGTGAGGAAACCAGCCTAAGGTTTTGCCCTTCCCGGGAATCAAACGCGGGTCGCTTCCGGGGCTGGTGCTCTAACCACTACACGATGGGCTTCCAAGGTTGGCAACGAATGTTGAACTGAGTCAACTCTCAATAGTGGTCTCAGTCGTCTGGTTCCTCAACAGGTGGGTCTGAAGTACTCGAGGTGATGATGGACCAGCCAGCCTGGCTCATCAGCAGGACTCAGGAGGCACAGACCAGTCACTGGCCACTGAGATTCTTCTCACTCAGCTCCTGTTAACTCTGCAAGCCAAAGCCCCAAAGCATAGGGTGGGCCTAGTTGGGCAAATAGTAGGAAATGTCCAAACAGTATTTTCAATTGCAAACTATGCAGTTTTAACTGGTTAAACTTCAGATGTACTCCAACTCTGCGGTTCTTAAGCCTTGATTCTTGCCAACCTAGAACTAATATTCTCTTGAATTCAATAATACAGGTAAACCTCTCCAAGGAGAAAGTGCACATTCCATCCCAGACATCTTAAGCACGATGATGGGTTTCTAACTATATCAGACATCTGGCTAACTAAATAAAAATTGCAACACGTTGATTGACAGCTCTCAGATGAACAGTTTCCTGTGGTTTGTTTGTACGTTGTATCTTGAACATTAACTAAGCAAATGATCAACCATAACTCTGTAGAAAATACCAGCAATCCTTGTTACACCAATTAGTTGTATGCTGATATTTTCAGCATACTACTTCAATCGGCTGATAGTGGCAAACACCAAATTTGCACTGAGGAACAGCCTAAGGGAAGAACAGGAAAAGCTTTGCACTTCACTTCCCCATAACTGATCATTATCAAATAAATATATAAGATTGCAGTATGTTGGAGTTTAAGCTTTCATTTTAGCAACTGGAAGCCTATAGTTGTTAATGTTTCTTTTCCTCTTATCAAAAATAGATTGTTTTAAAAAACTTATCATAATAAAGGTTTTTTTAAATAGTAAACTCTTAATTTCCCAGATTTTCATTTCTCCTTTAACTTCCTGTGCTCCTTCATTGTCATTATTTATTCCATCACATATCAGAATGCTTCCAGGCATCGGATATATTTATTTATATGTTGATGGAGACGCTGGATCCATAGTCCAACACTAAGTCAAATGCTGACAAATAGTTTGCAGTAGAGTCCAGTAATAATAATAAATAATGATAATAATCCTTGCATTTGATATAGCACTTTCACGTCTTCTAGACGTCTCAAAGAGCTTCACAGAATATACTGTAAAGTGAATTGACTTTATTATTACAATAAATATTATAACAGCCTATGGTTCACATATAATGCAAATGCCCATGGCTGGCTCTCTGCACGCCGCCTTGTTTCAAGTAATGGTCATTGACTCAACACCAATGTCATTTTCTGTATGCTGTACATGCACATCCACAGGAACCGCTGCATGCAGCAACCTGATGAAATCAGCAAAACAGTAAAACAGGATAATGTCAGCAGGCTGCACGCACACCCAGTGATGTTAGCATCACGTGCAGAACACTAACCAGTGATGATGCCCCATTATGAGGCCAGTTGGGATTTTATAGAGCCCCAACTACTGCATTATTACGCAGCTCTTCTGTATTAAACAAAAACTCTCACTTCACTGCAGGAACTATTTTTAGACTTGTGATCACATGCCCACTAGAATGGCAGCAGACAGATATTATTTTATAGACAGACAACATTAGGCTCACTTTGAAGTTGTTGAACTTAGCATCCAGTACACTATGTCTTCATACATTGGTGAATGCTCTAAGCTGGATAGCAAATTTATTCATTTTGGAAATGTGCAGTTTATAAAGGGAAATTGCATAGTTACAAGCACATGGCAAGATCAGGAAATGTACCAACAAGTGTAGAAATAATGAACCTTTGTATGCAGAGCACACACTGGAGGAACATAACAAAAATACAGTTTGTTGGAGTTTCATTTTTCATTTTACTATCTGGCAACACATAGAAGGTTATATTCTAAAAACTCTGAAATAAATTAATTAATTTATTAATTAATTAATACACAAATAAATAAATTCTCTCCTCATCCTCAGTAAGCATGATTTTTGCAAATCCAGAGAAAGACATCAATTTATAGTAAAGATAGCAGGGCAAGCAAAATCACAGCCAAGCTACATAATACATCAATTTTTCTAAATACTGTACACCAGTGTGGTCCAACTGATGCCCCCCACCCCATTTCATCTGGCCCACCCGCTCCCTGCATAACCTGTAAATGTTATGCTATGGTCCTGGAAGGGAAACACAAAAATATTTCTTATGTGGTCCATGGACTTTTCTCAAATAGGGCACCTGGCCCTCAGCAGCCCAAAGGTTGGACCATCCTGGTCTACACAATACACCCAGAGGGACAACCAGACACCAGTGAAGTTTTAAGTAACACTTACCCATGTTTATCTTTTGCTTTCCACCAATTCACATCACATTTCTGTAGTAGGACATATTCTTCGCCCTTCATTAGATTGAGATCATGATTCTCTAATGCTTCAAAGTCATACATTGCTGTAACTATCTCTTCATCTTCTTCATCCTCCTTTTCGTCATCGTCATCATCACCATCTGGGGGTGGGGGTGGAGGGGCCCTATTGGCAGTCCATGATGAACAGTCCCTGTGTTGCTGTTAAATGGGATGAAAAAACAAGATATTTTTCCCCCTAAAAGTAAAATTCCAAATATTGCTTAAAAAAGAGAATCAAATCATATCCAGGAAATTGAGTAGCAAAGCTATTTTAGCCAAACATATCAAACATCACCGATCAATTATGTCCCTGTACTATCGTGGTTATGGAGACAAACCATGTGAACAGTGAGCAAAATCACACCCATGCGATTGTCTACATTACTTTCTTTTGATGTTTATGTTAATTTGGTTGGATTGCAGTTAACAATTTATTTTATTCATTTTGTTTAAAAGTCTGAACCATTGAATCATTGGGCTATAATAATTAAATGGTAGAATTAAGTTCTTTCTGCATTAAGTACATACGGTGGGAAAGCACTCCAGGATGTGCCTGTGCATTATTAGAAAAAGTTCAAAAAATTGTTGATCGGGTTCAACAATTTTAGATTACTCTTCTCCACCACAAATACATAAGGAAAGGTTTGTTCTAAATAACTGCAATAGTTGCGAATAGAATGGATTATTTGAAGAATGTACCACTTTTTCCTGTTACCAGGGGCACTTGTAAGAGCGCAATAATAATAATAATAATAATAATCCTTGCATTTGATATAGCGCTTTTCACGTCGGGAGGACGTCCCAAAGCGCTTCACAGAATATACTGTAAAGTGAATTGACTGTATATTTGTGGGCGAACGCGGCAGCCAATTGCGCACAGCAATGTCCCACAAACAGTCGTAAATTGAAAATGACCAATTTATTATTGTTTTTGTTTTTTGGAGGGATTATTATTAGGCGTGTGGAGTAAGGAAACTTGCCCAAGGTTTCGCCCTGCCTGGAATTGAACTCAGGTCTCTCGCTTGCAAAGCGAGTGCTCTAACCACTGAGCTACAGGACTCCACAATCCCACAATATTCCTTCATTACTTTGATGCAGAGCTTGCTCTGTGCACTTAATTAACTGAGGTATATCAGTATGAAATAGAAATGAACCGAATTCCAAGATCATCCTGTGAGCACAGGATGAGAAGTCATTAACAGAAATATAGTGAAAGCTTTGGGAAATGTGTAAGTGGAATCATGAAAGCATAACACTACAAAAGATGGACCAAAAGGAAACACTGAACAGTAGCCCATGATCCATACAACAGTGAATTAACTAATTGCTATTTTTAAAAAAAACTTTGAATTGTTGTTGCTTCTTACCATTTCATCGGGTGTTGGTGGAAGTGGCTTTCGAGTAACTAAAAAAAAGAAACAAAAAGCATTTTACCTGTATGTACTATCAATTGGATGCATGTGTTATTTTTTTGTGTGACCTGAAAATCCTGCAGTAGTGCAGGTGATACTATGTCATTTGACCACTTGGATTAAATGTCAAGAGGTAGAGGTAGTGTGAAACTAGGCATGAATAGTACAGTATATCAGGAATGAACAGTTTTTTTTAAGAATACCATGAAGTGAAACTTGCATTTATTCTGTCAGCCTGGTTCAGTTGGGGGCACTTGTACCTCTGAGTCAAAAGGTGGTGTGTTCAAGCCCCACGTCGAGACTTTGAGCTCACACAGACTAGATTGACACTCCAATGCATAGATAAACTAAGTTAAACTAAGGTCATGTCTGCCTGTTCAGGTGGACATTAAAAGTATTTTATTCAATTATTCATTCTCCCAGTGCCCTGGTCAACTATCCCCGGAGATAATAAATCCCATTAAGTGCTTTGAGATCCTTTGATCTTATAAGGCACTACACTAAAATGCAACATTATGACTTACGTACTGTGAAATTAAAATAGTTTATTCAATTAAATAGTACCAGTAAAGTTTGCCCAAAGTCAAATCAGAGATTATATAATATAATAATCCTTGCATTTGATATAGCGCCTCATCACGTCTTTGAGATGTCTCAAAGTGTTTCACAGAATATACTGTAAAGTGAATCGATTGTGGGGGAAATGCAAGTTCATTGGAACATACAAATTACATTATAAAATAATCAATCTCAAGGAATATAATGTATGTTAATGTATAAATATACTAGTTTTGAAGTTAATGATTACATTTAGAAATGGTTCTTAGACTTTAACAATGGATACTTACCATCAGCAAAGAGTTTATATACCTGACAGCCAGGGGCAAGTTTATCTGCTTGTCTACAGCATTGCCATGCCCCTTCAGCCCAGAATCGTGGGTGATATTTTGGCAATATGAGTTCATTATTCTTTATTTCTGATTGGAAAAAGAAAATTGTACAAATCAAATCCATCACTGCCAATCATAGACTTAATTACAATCCTATTTAATAGAATGATTTGTTCAATTCATAATTTGAGTTAACCCTCTTGGTAATCCTAGAAACTATATAACTTTCTAACAAGCATGATAGAATATACATCTGGAGTTGGTGGAAGCACATTTCAAGAAACCACAACACTTTTTAGCAAACCACTGTTAAGACACATGTGGAAAAAAAATACTTTAGGGAGAAATATATACATATCTTGCATGAGTCACAATGTTTTATGGCCTAAAAACCTGGGGTGCAAACCATGCAGTAGTTGGATCTTAAAAAAAGTTTATAAATGTAATAATAAGATCCTTAATGAAACCATCCTGCAAATCTAAAGAATGAATCTCACTACTAACACCCATTAGATTAATGTAAGAATTATGATTACCTTTAATATTAGGATTAATATTACCTTGTTTATTTCAGTACTCATCATTTATTTTGAAATATACCGCATATTGTTATTGAACCAATGATTTAAAAATGCACATCTTTATTTAAATAGAGATTGCTGATGAGACTGGGAACTATTTTGTACGAATTACTGCACTGGACAAAGCAATACCTATAGGTACCCACCCTCTGAGCAAGCAGATACATAAAGTTATGAAACTGATTATTTCTCATAGTTATTTACCTTCTTTTAACTTTTGCACCCATGTACTTCTGCTACTGGGATTTGGTGCAAATATATACAGGGTATTAGCATCATATATAACCTGTAGAAAGAAAAATAAACGTTATAAAAGAAATAGCAGAGGGGAATTTAAATCCTCTGGAAGGAAAGGAGAGGCCAAATGGATTACCTAATATTTTGGTAAAATAAAAAAGGATAATTAACTCTTTTGATTATTATCACCATTAGCATTAAACAGACTGATGCAATTTGTCAGAGTATGCAATCCATTTTCTGTTGCAATACTGATAGAGTAACACTTTTAATTTGAGAGTCATTTGGCGACAACTGGTCAAGTTTACTCGAGAAATTAGACCTGCTTATTTAAAGACAAAAAAAAATTACACTACCAGCACTTGGACCAAACCATTAATTGGACCTGATCAGTTGTACTTATTGAACCAAGAGTGTCAGGATTCCTCTGTTTCTCATGCATGTACTCAATGATTATTTATGGCAGACTGAGTTGGTATTCATTTATTGTATATTGGCCAGAATACAATGAGATGCACTGCGAAATCAACAACAACAACAACAAATTACATTTGTATAGCGCCTTTCACGTCAGGAGGATGTCCCAAGGTGCTGGACAGTCAGAGTTTTGGACCCGAGCTGGGGTTTGGGATTGGGGATGGTGGAGAGCAGTGGGGTGAAGCAGGATGATCGAAAGCACGCTCAAAGAGGAGGGTCTTGAGATGGGTCTTGAATGAGGCAAGGGAGGGGGCGAGGTGGAGGGATTGCGGGATGGAGTTCCAGAGGGTGGGGGCAGAATGGCAGAAGGCCCATGAGGTGGGGCGCGTGAAGCAGGCCGGAGCCCGCTGAGAGAAGGGAGCGGGCAGGATGGTAGGGGGTTAGGAGGTTGCAGAGGTAAGGGGGAGCAAGACTGTGGAGGGCTTTGAAGGTGAGGACCAGGATCTTGAACTGTATCCTCTGTGTGATGAGAAGCCAGTGGAGTCGGGCAAGGATGGGGCTGGTGGGGTCATGGAGTCTGGTGGGGGAGAGGACACGGGCTGCAGAGTTCTGGATGATCTGAAGCCTATGGAGGGAGGAGTTGGAGAGGCCGACAAGCAAAGGGTTTGCATAGTCAAGCCTCGATGTAATGAATGTGTGTATGAGGGTTTCGGCGGCCTGCGGTGTGAGACAGTGGTGGATCCGGGCGATGTTGCGGAGGTGGGGGAAGGCAGACCGTGTTATGGCACGGATGTGGGATAGGAAGGATGAATGAAGTATGCTGTGAACAGAATATGGCTGTTCTCTGGCAACCAGCTAAAAAAAAACTAAACAAATATAGTCTCCAAGGTTCAGCAACTAAAATTTCAGTAGGCTTGTGCGACATCCTAAAACGGCACTGCCATCAAGATAAATGGTTCAATTGATATCCTCAACCTCCCTGAACTCTCCCTCAGACTCACCTCCTGCCCTCCACCTCTCAGACTCACCGAACCAATCTAGGTGTCTGGTTCGATCCCCAACTGTCCTTCTTCCCCCACATGCGGTCCTTGACCAGGACCACCTTCCTCCACCTCAGCTACACTGTCCACCTCCGACTGTCCTTACCCCAAATGGACGCCGCCCTAACCCCAAGCTCCCTGGCCCCTAACCCACCCCTGGCCCCCAATCCTGCCCCGGAGCCCCACAACAACAACATTACATTCATAGAGCGCCTTTCACATTGGGAGGACATCCCAAAGCGCTGAACAGTCAGGTGTCGGGGCCCGAGCATAGGGGAGGGGTGGTGTAGGGGTGAGGGAAGGCAGAGAGGTGGGAGGGCAACTGAAGGCACAATCGAAGAGAAGGGTCTTGAGAAAGGCCTTGAAGGAGGCAATGGAGGAAGTGAGGCAAAGGGACTGTGGGATGGAGTTCCAGCTTGTGGGAGCAGAGAGGCTGAAAGCCCAGCCACCGATGGTAGGGTGGGTTGGGCGAGAGACATGGAGCAGATCGGAGCCCGCTGAATGGAGGGAGCGGGCAGGTTGGTAGGGAGTCAGCAGGTCAGAGAGGTAGGAGCGGGCAAGGCCATGGATGGACGAGGATCTTGAATTCAATCCTCTGGGGGATGGGGAGCCACTGGAGTCGGGCGAGGGTGGGAGTGATGGGGTCACGGAGCCTGGTGGGTGAGAGTACACGAGCTGCAGAGCTTTGGATGATCTGCAGCTTGTGAAGGGAAGAGTTGGGAAGGCCTATGAGGAAGGAGTTTGCATAATTGAGCCTTGATGTGATGAATGCGTGGGTGAGGGTTTCGGCAGCCTGAGGGGTGAGGCAGTGGCGGAGTCTGGCAATGTTGCGGAGGTGGTGGTAGGCAGTGCCGGTCATGGCGCAGATGTGGGGGAGAAAGGGCAGTTCGGGGTCAAACAAGAGACCCAGGTTCCTGTCTGGCTTAGTGAGGTTGATTGTGCAGCCCTTAAACCAGGCCTCCAGACTCCACCCCCTAACCCCACGGACCCCAGCCACTAACCTCTCAAACGCCCCCAAGGGCCTAACACCACCCTCTACCCACCGGGCTCCCAACCTTGCACTAACCCCTAACCTTAAACCCCCCAAACCCCACCCTCTACCCCCACCCCCTGCCCCTGTTTGGTCTGCCGGGTGTCTTACACATGCAGAACCTTATCACCATGTCTCCAAACCAAGCTGCGATTTCCATGTATCCCGCTTCCACATGGAAATCACAGAGACAGATTTTGGGGTGAGGGAGTGGCGCATGCACATGTAAGGATGGGATCAATCACACCTTCAGGACATTTTCTGGTCAAATAGCTAAAAACCACTGACATTCTATATTCACACATGAAGAAAGGCCACTTAGTGGATATATTTTTATCCAGGAAGATATATAATTCAGGATTAATTGTATAATGTACATTTTTTTAACTGAAGGACAAATACATGTTTCTTCTATATTCATTGTTTCAGGCAGGATAACAGATCCACTGGTGCCAGGTGCCCTCTGAGGTTCACCCAAGTGTCTATTCTTCACAGGTTGATCCAGTATATTAAATGGTTGTGGGTGATTTCACCACGGAAAACATCACAGCTGTGACTCGGTCCATTCTCACAAGGGTCCCCATACAAAGGAGATCAGAAGCAGTATATTTTCTCTCCCGAGTACATAAAAGCTCCCTGAATGTTGCCTCTTTAAAATTGAGTATTGATTTTTTTAAGTAGTTAGTTTTAAAAATGGCTTTAAATTCTACTAACCTACTCACTCCCTCCACACTGGCCTGCTTTGTGTCCCCTGCTCAACCTGCCCCACATTGACGCTCAAGACCTTCCTTTTTGACCATGCCTTCGGTCAACTTTCCCCTACCACCCCCATCTCCCCTTTCGAATCCAAACCTGGCTCAGGTATAAACTCTGGACTGTCCATTGCCTTGAGATGTCTTCTCTACATAAATGATACTGTATAAATGTAATTTATTATTATTGCTGTTAGCTTTGCGACCACATAAAAGATAATTTTCCTGTCCCCTGCCCCTTGCTCAGCATTTGTTCCAGTCATTTGTAAAGCGCTCCAATTGTAAAGAGTTATTCTACACGAAGAGCTCTCTGTACATGCTGCTGCTGTTGTTGACTGAAAGGGAAATTACATGCATTCTAAAAATCTGATTTATTGTCAAACGAAATATAAATGGGATGGAGAATTTGATAAAAACATTTTATCAACCTGTTACACTAGTTTCACTACTGTTAACAATATAAATATGACACTGCTGCCAATGTTTACTGGACTAACCTGTTCATATAGTTTCATCGAATATCACCAATTATGAAGCAATGTTAATCTTACAAAACCGGTTCCTTTGTTTCTCAATGAATCCTGGAACTAGGATTTAACATTCCAATGTTAAGATCATTGTGGAGTACAGCCTTGGAGAGCAACAACAACAAAATTACATTTGTATAACGCCTTCCATGTCGGGAGCACGTCCCAAGACGCTGGACAGACAGAGTTACAGACCCGAGCGGAGGGTCGTGTTGGGGGAGGGCAGAGGGGGGAGTAGGGAGATCAAAAGCATGGCCAAAGAGGTGGGTCTTGAAGGTGGTGAGGGAGGAGGTGAGATGGAGGGACTGCGGGGTGGAGTTCTAGAGGGTGGGTGCAGAGTGGTGGAAGGCCTGCCTGCTGATAGTGGGGCAAGCAAGGCGGGGGCGTGAAGTAGACCAGAGCCCCCTGAGCGGAGAGAGCAAACAGGGTGGTAGGGGGTTAGGAGGTCAGAGAGGTAGGGGGGTGCAAGTCCATGGAGGGCTTAGAAGGTGAGAACCAGGATCTTGAACTGTATCCTCTGTGTGATGGGAAGCCAGGGGAGTTGGGCAAGGATGGGGGTGATAGGGTCTCGGAGCCTAGTGCAGGAGAGGACACGGGCTGCAGAGTTCTGGATGATCTGAAGCCTGTCGAGGGAGGAGTTGGGGAAGCCAACAAGCAGTGAGTCTGCATAGTCGAGCCTCAATGTAACGAATGCGTGTATGAGGGTTTCGCCAGCTTGCGGTGTGAAACGTGTTGGAAGTCGGGCGACGTTGCAGAGGTGGGGGAAGGCAGAGTGGTTCATGGCACAGATGTGGGTTAGAAAGGATAGTTAGAGTCAAATAAGATCCCAAGGTTCCGGATTGGCTTAGCAAGGTGGAGTGTGCAACTATGGATGGTGATCCTGTCAGCATCTGAAGTGAGGAGGTGCTGACGGGAGCCAATCTGGAAAGCCTCAGTTTGTAAAAAACAAAGTATTTTCATTTAATGGAATTGGTGTTATTACCAAAACTTTTTTTTTTTTTAAATGTATATCACCACAATTACTTTCCAATTTCTGGAGTGTCAGCCGAGAGTCTGACACATGTAGAAACCCATCTCCATGCTTATGAGTGTCCAAGCTAAGCTGAAAATTCCATGCATCCTACCAACACATGGAAATCCCAGAGATAGATTGTTGGACTGGAATGTGCACTCTTACTTTCCAATACAATACAAGGGGTCAGGCTCGATCATGATCCAGGCACTAGGTCTGATTGCATAGAAAATTTAGCCCAGTGTTCTTGGGCCAATGCACTTTAGAACATATCACAAAAGTACACATGTAGAAAGAGCTTTAAAAGAGCCCTTGATCTAATCTACGTGAACTAGTTGGGCCGAATGGCCTATTTTCATGTTTCTCTCTAATTCCAGAAAACCCACCCTGGAACAGTTCGCACTTCTTTGCTGCCCCTCAGCTGGTCAACTGTGCAGAAATAAATGAGTGGGATAATTCTTGTACATGACTTTGATCTACCCTTGCTGAAAGCAGAGACATATAGATCTTGTGGAGATGCTGCATCAACAGTTTCCCAATCCTCGTCAGTTATTTGCACATTTATATTGACTCGCCCTAGCTCTCTTATACAAGTTAAACTCAGCAAGAACAACAATAAATTACATTTGTATAGCACCTTTCATATTGAGAGGATGTACCAAGGCGCTGGACAGTCAAGAATTTGGAACCGAGCTGGAGGTTAGATAGGGATGGTTGGAGGGCAGGAAGGATAGGGTTAAAAGGATGACTGAAGATGCGGTTGAACAGGAAGGTATTCAGACACGCCTTGAACAGGAAGGTATTCAGACAGGCCTTGAAAGAGGCAGGGAATGTGGGATGAACAAAGTGTTGGGGCAGAAATAGTGGGGCAGGCCGGTGCCCACTGAGCAGAGAGAGTGGACAGCTCTGTATGGAGTTAGCTGGTCACAGAGGTAGAGAGGAGCAAGGCCGTGGAGGCAACCCACCCAATACATCAAAATAAAATTTAAAAAATAAAGAATACAATTTTTTGGACTCCTTAAAACCCAACTCTTTAGCGATACAATTTTGGCCACCATCATTAAATTTGCCTTTGTCTTCTAATTGTTCAGTGCTCCCCATCGTCTCTACGAAACAATTCAAGATGTTTCATCCACAAAACACAATCACTACACTTTACAGTGTATCCTGTGAAGTGCTTTGAGACATCTCAAAGATGTGATAAGGCGCTATATCAAATGCAAGGATTATTATTATTTTACACCAAGAAGGCTAACTATCAAGAACAGCAACGGACTGTTCTTGGCAACAGGATTCATGCAGTGTGCAAAACTGAGTGGCTTTGACAAGACTGTCATAGACAAATCGCTTCGATTCCCCTGCCGTACAAAGAGTGGAATATCCTAGGAAACTTCATTCAAGTCACACAAAAATAATTATTCTTGAAATTGTTATACAACTGAGATTTTTCTACACATTCCAACTACGTATTTAAAATCTCTTTGTGCGGATAATAATCCCTTCAAAAATAAATAATTTGGTCACTCAATCCACGACTGTTTGTGGGACACTGCTGTGCTCAATTGGCTCTTGTGTTTCACCCACAAGGCATAGAGTCAATTCAGTTTACAGTATATTCTGTGAAGCGCTTTAAGACATAAAATAATAAGGCACTATATCAAATGCAAGGATTATTATTATTATTTCCAACGTCCTACTTTCTTGGCTTCTCACTCTGAATGTCTTCACTTAATCCTGTTTTCTATTAGTTAACTTTAATCAGGTTATTCCTTCTCCACTTCTAATACAAAGTAAGGATTTATGCTTAGTAAAAATAAAAGTGACTTAAGGTATAGCAGAAGGACAAAAAATTTAAGTGTTTGAAATATTATATTTTGACATTAAAGTTTTAAATATGGTATTTTGTTTCAGATATACAATATTAAAAAAATACGATTACATGATTTTTGCTATTCTATCAGATGCATACACAGAAATATTAAGCAATTAGACACCAAATGCATGCGTTAGCCAGAGTGAAATTCTGCTTTTATCAGAAAAAAATACAAAGATGAATTACAATCCTTCTAATCCTTAATCATTTTGTTGGCCTCAGCATAACTGTGAAATTACGCAACTAGAGGAAGAAAAATGCATCTCAATATGAAGTTTTTCTATACAACTCTATCTTTCTGTGGTCTATATAGGATCAGTTCCTGATGAGTCAGCAAAGTTCAAAGTTATTCTTCAGTTCCTTTTTTCCTTGGAGGAGCATAGGTTGAAAGCAAAAACTTTAATTTTCCCCTTTGAATATTACGATACTGGGTGAGTTTCAACAATCCCCAGAAATCTTCCCCAATTTAGTTTTACACAGCATGCAAACAACAGCAATAAAAAGAATAATAACTCACACTAATATAGCACCTATCAGAGTGGGAGAACATCTCAAAGTACATTTCAAAGATAGAGTGCGAGCCCGAGCTAGGATGGAGGAAGGGGAAGCAGGAGGGAGATGACCAAAGGCACAGTCAAAGGGATTTTTTTGAAAAAAACAGAGCGGTGGGAACAAAGATAGAGGATTTTGCAAGGGGGTTCCAGAAGGTGAGCTGAAAGCTCACCCACTGACGGTGATATGGAGCAGGCAGGGGGCACAAAACAGTCAAGAGTTGGCATAGGATGGCAGGTGATCGCAGGAGTTGGGCAAGGCTGTGAAGGCACATAAAGGGAATGAGGAAGATCCTAAAGTTGATCAATTGTGGGATAGAGAAACAGTGGAAAAGGGCAACGATTGGGGTGATGAGCTTGCAGAAGAGGGAGAGGGGGTAATAAATTTAAAGATTGCACAAATTGCAGAAAGTCATTCTCAAGTATACAGAAAGCAGTGCAGAACACATTCAATGCTTTTCACTAGGGATGTTTACGTAACCTGTGATATTGATCAGAGAGCTGATCTCCTCAAACTGAGAAAGGTGGACTTAGGAATACCAACAGAACTTGAAAATGTTACATTTTCGAACTTTAATAGGTTTAAAATTGGGAAATATAAAGTGTTAATTATCACAAGTAATAATTACCATACTATTGATAAATGTTTTCAACCACTCAAGTTAGTAACAAGACTGGCCATGGTTATTAACCCCCCACCACACACACAGCCATAATTGCACTTGTCAAGAGCAATGGAACACCAGATTATAAGACACCGAATTGCATTTTACTACAGATTTACTACCTTAATCCAATTTTTTAGTTAAATCGGTATTCCCCAGCATTGTAATACTACAAATTACACAAATAACAAGACAATAAACTTGCAAAATCATAAAGTTTGACATACCTGAAATGGATACTTGTTCTGGCAAGGAAAAGGGCCACTGTCATGCTTCACTACTTCTGCACACTTGATTTTTTGTAGTTCAATGGAACCCTTTTTATTTTTTTTCTGGAAGAAAGAGGAAAAAATGTATGTTCACTAAGTATATTTCACAAATGGCTCAAATAAAAGTAATCTTTTTACAGTTTCCACACATTATTGCTTATTGAATGTGACCAAATCTAATACTACTCAATTTGCTGTTCCTGGAAGAAAGCAAACCCAATGAAAACTTCAGACCTAACTTTTTATTACACATGTTCAGGAGCAAACAAGGAAATTAGTATGCGCTAGGTTACTAAGCTCCTATCTTGCTCAGGAAATTGTGCACATGGAAGGTAGGGGGAAAAAATTGGATTGACACATCTGAATAAATCACATCAGTACCATACTGCTTCAGAAATCAGATACAGAATGGCTCTTAACCTTTATCCCTAGATTTAAAAAAATAATAAATAATAATAATAATCCTTGCATTTAATATAGCGCTTTTCACATCTTCTCGATATCTCAAAGCACTTCACAGAATATGCTGTAAAGTGAATTGATTGTATATTTGTGGGCGAAACGAGGCAGCCAATTGCGCACAGCAGTGTCCCACAGTCGTGGATTGAAAATGACCAATTTATTATTGTTTTGTTTTTTGGAGGGATTATTATTAGGCTGTGTGTGGAGTAAGGAAACTTGCCCAAGGTTTCGCCCTGCCTGGAATTGAACCCAGGTGTCTCGCTTGCAAAGGCGTGTGCTCTAACCACTGAGCCACAGGACTCCACGGTAAAATAAGGTAAATGCATTTTTGGTTCCATTCACTGGGTTATGCAAAGCTGAACTGGCCAATCAGATAAGCATATTTTGATAAGCTTGTTGTCAGGTTAAGTATAGTGTGAGTTTTTCTTCAACAGTAATAAACTTGGTTTAGCATCAAATTTCAACAGCAACACCCTTCCAAACATTGGTGAGAACTGAAAGCAAAAGCCTTTACTTTTCCGGCTATGGAGGGTCCAAACTGCAAGCAGTGCAAAAAAAAATGAATTGTTAACATTTCACCCCATTCTCATGTTAGAAAAAGTGCGGTAACATTGGGGTGGACCAGTTAACTCGCTAAGACACTGAAATGGGATAAAAATCAATCTCTGGAGATGGTGGCTAATGACGTTGAATTTATTAACAACAACTTTCATTTATATTGCGTCCTTAACACGGGGCAGTGTCCTGAAGCGCTTAACAGTGGCAGAGCCTGATGCAGGGAGGAGGTGACGTAAGCACAGTCAAAGAGGAAGGTTTTCAGTCGTGATCCAAAAGTGGGAAAGAAGGGGGTAAAGCGGAGGGATTGGGGGAGAGTTCCAGAGCTTTGGGCGCAGTGGCTGAATGCACGGCCACCGATGGTAAAGCGGAGGGGCCGAGGGACAAACAGGAGGTCAGAGACAACCTAGTAGAGGCAGTGGGTAGTGGAGTGGGGAGAAAGAAGGTCAGAAAGTTAGGGAGGTGCTAGGGTGTAAAGAAATTTGTAGACGAGTGAGAGCATTAAGGTCATTTCATTTATACTGTAAGGCCACCCCTGAAGAGAGGGTTGGAATATAAAGAGCATAAAGGATGCAAAGAATTAGAGGTTTAGATACGACAGATCAAAGTATGTTGTATAATATTATACAAGTAATTATACTTATTATATAAGTATAATTCTCAACAACAACTTGCATTTTTCCTTTCAACGGAAGGAAAATAATATGTATGGAAAATAAAAAGGACCTGGAAATCCCGATTGACAATAAATTGAAGCTCTCCTAACAATGCTCTGTAGCAGTGAGTAAAGCAAACCAGATGTTGGGATGTATCAAAAGATCAATAGCAAGCCGAAATAGTGGGGTAAAAATCCTGCCACTGTATAAATCATTGGTGAGAACATACTTAGAATACTGTGTACAGTTCTGGTCTTTTTCCGTCTAGCAGTTCTTATGTTATTTATATAATGCTCTTCCTGCGGGTAGTGTCTGAGCACTTAAAATGGATTCAAATCAATTCTTAGTAAATTAATTTCCACTTTTCTCCCAATTTGCCCTATAAACATGATTAGTAATCTGTCAAGTAAATGATGTTTCCTCCAAAATTGAGTCACAAACAATTTTCTTAGAAAACAAAAAAATTCCAGAGGAAAAACATTCAGTTATTAAATATTCAGTTGAACTCCCACCTTATGAAGCCTCTATCAATCAGAGTATTCTGTTTTATTTACTGAACAATGTACGGAAAATTGTTTCATGTGTCCAACCCTTTCATAATCTTGTGACCGGCTGTACAGTCAGTAAAATACTGTACGCCCACTTTATGGTTAGGCTTTCTGTAGATGACTGCCATTTGTACCGACAATAGTAAAAATGTACAAAGGAAAAACATGAATAAAATTTCTTTCCAGCCCTTTGCCAATGCTGCTTTGAATTTGACCAATTCGGGGTAATAAAGCATTCCTGGATTGATTTCCTTTCCTGCCTATGGTTAATACACCCCAAACTCTTCAATGTAGAGATTGAACTATTCAGTATTTTTAAAATGGAGAAGGAAATGGACGGTTTGCAATTGAAAAGTACATTTGGTAATAGAAATATTTTTGTTTTATTTGACCTATTTCACAAAGTAAGAGAGAGAATATGTCACAGGCAGCAGCAGTGCGAAAGGTAAAGTGGAGACATGTATTCAGATCCACTTTTAAAGATATTTACACTGCTGGCAAATGAACTTTCTATTTATATAATACTTGCAACACATCTAATTGAAAACCTTTTACAAAAGTACTATACTTTGGTCATTTTGTTTTTAAATAGCTCAAGAAAATCTGTTAAAATTTTCCTATTCTATGGCTCGACAATCATCATCACTGTGCTAAAATATTGGTGGAAACAGTATTTATTTCCACGAGTACTTCTCATTCAAATATTGTAACTAGATAAGACAGTGCAGCCCCATTATAATGTACTTCTTTATAGACCAATTCCATTACAATGTGATTGCTGTGCGAACCTCATTTACGCCAGCACTTACACTAAACAATTGCCGTCTTCAGGGTCATCAGGTCACTACAACATTAACTCCTGCTTTGTGCATACACAGCACCTAGGAAGTGATGGCAGCAGAGGCCTGGACATAGAAGTTGTCCCTTTTTTAAAAAAAACACAGAAATTGAGTGCGCAGGAAACAAAGTTTCTCAAGAAACTGTTTAAGTCGTAATCACTTCAACCACAGACAAACAATAATCGCCTCTTTACAGCATGTTTTAGATGTGAGCATCTCTATAAGTTTGGCTGACTTTGATTAAAAAAAATTAAAAAAAGGTACAAAGTTTCCCGATGATTAATTTGTCAACTGCTTCTTGAGAAGCACACTAATAGTATACAGAAGAGAGTCGATTATCCGCTCTAAATAGGACCAGTACCTTTGCAGATAAACAGTGCAGATAATTGGCAGCACACAAAATATAATCTGGCTATAGCACCAACTAATATATTGTTCCATTGAGAGTTATGCTGTCACTATAGTACCCCACAGTCTCCAACTACCTCTGTGAAGTTGCTCCAACAATAATAATAATAATCCTTGCATTTGATCAAAACGCTTCACAGGATATACTGTAAAGTGTATTGACTGTATATTTTGTGGGCGAAATGCGGCAGCCAATTGCGCACAGCAGTGTCCCACAAACAGTCGTGGATTGAATGACCAATTTTTTTAATATAATTTTTGGGTAGCAGCTTCCTAGGATCGCGTAGCCAGGATTTAGAATGACCCCGGAAATCTCACACATAAAATAGTACATGCGTACAATAGGTTTTTTTGCCAATACCTTGCAGAGTCATATCCAATATCCACATTGGAGCTTGTGCAGATAAACAAGAGTTCTACCAAAATTCAATTATATTGAATGTATCAAATGTCAAAGTTTACCAATTACTCTTCTAAATAACTGAAATAGAAATTGATGCAAATCAGTTCTGATTAAAACATTGATACAATGGCATAAATACATCAATATATATTTTGCATTTTAATTGTATCATACGTGTACTATATAGGCACTCTATATAAATTGTTTCCTTCCTTTTATGACAAAATACCCACAGTAAATTATATGGAGGAGAGAAGGAAAAAAGGACCCAAACAACATTTTTAGGTGTCATCCGCATACATGTGGAAGTTGACCCCATGTCTGTGGATGATGTCACCAAGAGGGAGCATTTAGATATTGAAAAGGAGGGGATCAAGGATAGACCCTGAGGAACGCCACACGAGACAGTGCGGGGGCTGGAGGAGAAACCATTTGTGGAGATGAAGTAGAGGCGATGTGAGAGGTATGATCTGAACCAGTCATGGACAGAGCCGTGAAGGTTGAGGTGAGAGGAGAGGCGGTGGATGAGGATAGAGTGGTCAACGGTATTGAAGGCAGCAGAGAGGTCAAGGAGGACGAGGAGGCAGAGGGAGCCCTGGTCGCAGATGAACAGAATGTCATTTGTCACTTTAACCAGGGCTGTTTCTGTGCTGCAGTCGGCAAAAAATTACATTACTTTCAAAGCAGGAAACTCTATTCATATTTCCTATTTAATGATTGCCAGGAACTGCTGAGAGTTTGGTGCATGCACAGTCAAGCACCCACATAGCATCACTAAACATTTTTAGTTTTTAAACTCTCATGAAATAATTTCACTATAACTAAAAAATTAGTTCCACAAATTTTTGAGGGAACTTCAAATGAATTTGCACCGCCTGCCTTTATATTGTAGGTGTAGGTGAGAATGAATGTTGAAGTGAAACCATCTCCTCAAGGTGGTTTCAGCAAATAGGCTTCAATATTTTTGAGATTACAAATCCCAACCAGATTTATATTATATATAAATTCTAGGTGAGGCCGCCACTGCCTCACCCCTCAGGCCACCGAAACCCTCATATGCTTTCAATAGAACCAGCTTCAACTATGCCAACACCCTGCTTGTCTGCCTCACCAACTCTTCCCTCCACAAGCTGCAGATCATCCAGAACTCTGCAGCTCATGTCCTCTCCCGCACCAGGCTCCGTGACCCCAT